TTATATTGAATTCTCAAAATTCAATTATTTAGTTAGCTTATGATTTTATTGTTTATTGATCAGACTTGTTTCTATTTTTAACTCTTTGATTTTTGTTGTTATTATGTATTTAAAGTTAATAAGACTTAAATTGTTTAATTAATAAGACTCTTAAATTTTTAAATCAAAGTCAAAACAATTTCTTAAAATTATAAATCGAAACTTTTTACGAAATTTGGACAGCTTTGTTTTTATTTTAAACGTGTGCATTGGAAATAAAATACAATGTGAGGTAATGCAAAGTAATTTCTAATTGCTTACTATTTCTAAATTAATAATTTGGAAAGCACTTTTCTTTATAAAAGAATTTGGTTATTTTATTTTAATTTAAAAAGTGTGGTATGAAATAATAATGTAATATTTTATGAATGCTTATCCTTTTCCTAATTTGCTCAACATTCAACATATTATTTTTAGAAATATATATTCACTTAAAAAACTATATTTCTATTTAATTGGTATTTTACTTCAAATAATTTAATAAAGGAAACCGAAATATTATATAACATATGATTTATAGTTCGGGTCTAAATATAATGAGAGATTATAAAAAGTACTAAATGGAAGTTATAAATGTATTCATTCTGGTTATAAAAAGTACTAATTTGTGAAACCTCTTTAACTCTCCACGGAACACTGAAGTTCCATAGAACACAGTTTGGGATTGCTTCTATCATTAAAAAATTTACCAAATTTTACCACATTTACTACCGAACAGCATGGTAAAAAACTATATTTTTATTATGTTAATTTCACGAGAAGTCATAACCAAATCGCTACGGAAAAAAATTACCCTTTTTTTTGGTCTTTGCACAAATACCGTAAATGTTACTATATTCTAATAGTTTTGACTAAACTTTTTTTTTCTCAGTGCGGTCAGTACCATGGTTCACATTTCAGAAAAGGTACTGTGTATTGCCGCATGCAAACAGTTGTGTTTTTCTCAAAATTTCAGAGGATCTTCGATTTTGTCACCTCAAAATAAAATTTGAAAGATTGAAGAATAAAAAACTCGTGTCCAATAGTTTTACATAAAGAACATATCCAGAAATTTTCAACAAAATCAAGAATATCAAATATCCAAATTATAATTTGATAATTTATAATAATTTGAATATAATGTGATAATAATCAAATTAAATAAAGAGTATACTCTTTATTTATTAAATTTTTGAAGAAAATAGATATTAAAAAAAAACCGATAGGGAGTTGTGTATAGGTGGGGCTGATGATTATGAAATCTAACGCAGAACCGAGAGATCGGGGGTTCTATTCCAGCTGATGACAGTTTTTAATCTTTATTCCTTAATACTGTGAAATGTTTTTCTTATTTTTTCTAATGTATGCATGTTAAAAGAAACTAATATTTAAAAAACTACATCTCTTGTTCAATTTGCTCACCAACCTTCGTGGTTCATTAATCATTGCAGATTAAGAGGAAGAACGGTTTATTTCCATTTATTTGCACAAATCGCGAATGAGTTACTATTTGCATTTTTAAGATGACTAAATTTTGGCAAATCAATAAAATTGGTACCTCCCGCAGAGTTATTACTCAGTGAAGATGGGCTCAAGGCAAGGGATAAGGCATTTGCCTCCGAGTGAGGTGGCCCGGGTTCGAATCCCAGTGATGTCTGCTCGATACGAATTCCACACCAGGCTCGCACCGACCACACTGCTGATGCAAAATATCCTCAGTGGTAGACGGATGGTGGATTAGAGTCCCCTTGCTGTCAGACTAACCGTGGGAAGATTTCGTGGTTTTTTCGTCTCCTAACTCAAATGTGGGTTAGTTCCATCAAAAAGTCCTCGACGAAGGCAAACATTTCTTCTAATACTTGATCCTGGAGCGCCTTTGTGTGCTGGATTGGATTCAAAATGACAAGGCTACGAAGTTGAACATTAGTAGTCTTAAACTCGAAATTGGGTAAGCTGTTCAATAACGGTTATATTTTACTTTATAACCGTCGTTGAGCAGCCGATCCAATATTTGGGTTTACGACTACTAATGTTCAACTGCGTAACCTTGTCATTTTGAGCCCAATCCAGAAGACAAGGGAACTCCTGGATCAAGTATTGGGAGAAATTTGTCTTCGTGGAGGACTTTTTGATGGAACTAACTCTCATTTGCGTTACATGGAGAGGAAAACCACGAGAACCTCCCACGGTTAGCCTGACGGCAAGGGGACTCTAACCCGTGATCCATCAAACTCTGAGGATATTTCACGTCAGCACTGTGGTCAGCGCAAGCCGGATGCGGAATTCGTATCGACCAGCCATCGCCGGGATCGAACTCTGTTCACCTTATTGGAAAGCGAACGCTCTATCCCCTGAGCCATCGTGGCTCTCAATGACGGTTATAAAATAAAATAATTTTGCCAGGATAGCCTGGTTGGTGAATTGTGAGAATGGGAGTTCGAATCCAGCCGGCCGAAGAGTACCTATGTACAAAATGGTGCATGTGAAATCTGTCAGGGTCACAATGTCCTTCAAGTTCTCACAACAAATCAATACCTCTTGGTACTGATCCAGGAGTTCCCTTATCCTCTGGATTGGGTTTAAAATTACAAGACTATAGAGTTAAACATTGGCAGTGGTAATCTCAAAATTAAGTCAGTTGTTCAATGGCTGTTATGAAGAAAAAAGTGAAATTAATAATCGAATTGTATTTTCTTGTATTCTTTGAAACTCCTTGCATATTTTCCATACACCTTCATAATTTTATATTTCTAAGTCTTATAAATTTTGAGCAGCCAAGCAAAATGCAAAGTAAGAAAAAAACAATTTAGAAAAAAATTAGCAAAAATATCATTTAAATTTTCAAATGACATATATTCGGAAGAAAACAAAAACTGTTTAATATGGCCTTCCAGCATGCCAAATTTTTACTCTGTGCTTATAATGAGCTTAAAATGTGCTTCTGTTGTAACTTTTTTTCCTCGTTCAAAAAATATGTGCAATAAAAGAAAGGTTCTACATTATAGTCTCTTCACAATCAATATATTTAACAATGAAGTAATATCATATTCTCTAATAATGTATTGCTAACATTCAACAATAAAATATAATGACAGTTTACTTTAGGTTTATAAAAATAGAATTGAACTTATGAGAGCCCCAGCATTTTCAGTAGCTTAGGGCCCCACGAAGCTTAAATCCGGCCCTGCTATCATGGTCCCGCAGTGACCATAATAGTTTAATTGGATCGTAAAGATGCGGTTCCCAGTAGAAAACCGGAGTCAAGCATCACTGGCTGCTGTCAGTAAGCGAGTGGGTGCTCACTTTGATCATCTTGTGTAAGGACCGAGGGTACGATAGCTGGTCGATACTAATTCCGTCTTGCCCCGATCACAGTGCTGACGTAAAACATCCTCAGTAGTAGACGGATCATAGGTTCGAGTCCCCTTACCGTCAGGCTAACCGTTGTATATTTTCGTATTTTTACCTTCCATGTAACACAATTGGGTCTACTGTTCAACAACAGTTACAAGAATGAAAAAAAAGAAACTATTGACTAGAATATGAAAAATTATTAAATATGAAATCAATAAATCTACAATTTATTGATGGAAAAATTTAACATATTATGAATGTGTTAGCAACAAAATATTTTTTTTATCAAAAAGCAAGGGCTACTTATACTTGTGTCGATAAACCTATAAAAGAAATACTTTCGCAGACCTTGAAAAACAATCCAAAAACATGGTCTTATGCTCGTTTATTTGCTTTCCCTTCAATGAGGTACTTTGCAAAATATTTTCTTATTATTTTTTAATATTTTCGCTGAAAAGGTTAATATTTGCTTTATTTCGTTTTCTTTGAAAAAGGTTTTCGCTTAATATTTCTGCTAACCTAATCATGACAACAAGCAAAAATGAGGTTTACAGTTTGCTTGTTTTTTAACCTACATAACAATATCTTTTAAAAAAGATTTAAAAATCATTTAGTTTTCTTAAGGAGGAGTGGTTGGAAATTGCAATATATTTACGTCATCGAAAAAAGGTTTTTACTGCAAACCTTTTTCTTGACAATGAAAATAAAGTTAAAACACAAAGTTGTCATAAGGTTACATGCTTTCTGGGATAGGTGGCCTATGGCAACACTTTGTAAGCTTTCGCCGTTAGCATGGGGAGAATCAGAGGAGAAGGAAGTACGTCAGTTTCTCCCTTGATTTTCAAATAAATTAAAAACTTTCAAGTAAGGAAACTATACGGAACTGAAAACTGCATAGAACATAGCTCTAATAGAAAGCGGTTTGGAAATTTTTCAAAAAAATATTTGTGACAATTAAATACGAAATATATGGGGGGAAATATCTTAGACTGAAAAGAGTAGGAGAGGGAAAGGGGTAGGGTCAAAGGCATGGAAGTGGTCTTTTCCCCAGATGACGTATAGAGTATTGCTATCGCGAATTCTCCCTTTATAAAAATATAAGTTCTCGAAGTCTCTTTAAATAGCATTATTGTTTGGATAATGAAGTAATAGAATTAAGCTTCGAAATTAAATTCAAAATAAATTTTATAGTGTATGAATGTAATAGAGAGAAGAAAACAATACTTATTATTTTATTTTACTTGATAAATAATGATATTCTGGTCTGAAAAACAAATATTAAAAGCAAATACTCATAAATTAATATGTATACATAAACAATTTTTTTTTTTTAATTTTTTAAAAAAAGAAGAAACGAATCGTCAGCTAAGCAAACGGCAAATTCTTACGTAGTTGCCCCACCACAGTTTATCTCTCGTAGTGTCATTCCCATCCCCTCGCACCGACATAGTCAAACAAGGTATTTAACAATTAACAACGATGAAAAAAAAAAAAAAAACGAACTTGGTGCAATTTTTTTGATTGCCTGAAAGGATTATTGATGCCAAATGTTATAAACCAGAAATAACCATAAAGTACGTTGATGAACACGTTGATAGCAGCAGCCAATAAAATAGGAGTACTAAATTAAAAATTCTGGTAGCCAAGCGACTGCCCTTCACTAAATTTACGGTCAACTAAAGTTAACTGTATTCGTTTTATTATTTTTTTTTTAATGCAGATTTGTTTATTTGAATTTTGAAGCGGAAAAATTTAAGCATGAAATTGACTTCTCTTATATACTTTGGATTTTAATTGTAATTTATATTTGAGTGTATTTGTATTAATAGATTTAAAAGGAAATAATATTCCTATATTCTTCAGTTTCGGATAAGGCAGTGTAAACCAGGCCGTTTTAAGAGGTATACTCTTTCAACTACTTTAAAATGTTGAAAAGTAATCCAGCATAATGTTAAAACAATCATACATATTGTTAAAATAAATACCATAGTCACTTTTATAAAGAAAGATTATTAATTAAATTTTTTGTTGTTGTTTTAACATTACCTAAATTTCCAGTCACATCATGAAAAAAAGAAAAAGATTTTTATACTTTTCTTTCATAATAGCTCATCGCAAATATTTTTTACGAATTTAAATTTTGATAAAGATATTTTCAGTTCACAATTTGTTATAGATTTCACAAGCTGTACCTTTAATATGGTGTATACAATTAGGTTATGCGTCCATGAAACCATTTTCAAACATGCATTTGAGTAATTCTCAGCAAACAAACATGTAATTGAAGGATCTATAAGTTTTTTCTGTTGAAAAATGAGTAAGTTATTTGTTCAACACATGGTTTGAAGATGTCTTCATTACATTATGTTATAAGTTTGAAGTATTGGAAATAAATATTTTATCAATTTTTAAACCTATGAAATCTTATTCATTCATTTGAAATTCTTACCTCCCACAAATACAAAAGATATTATTTCTGACTGAAATACCTGTATTTTTCTTCAATTTTTAAAAATCAATCTATAGTATTGTATATGAAACTAATTATTAGGTCTTAAAGGGGTTTTTTATATGGCAAAAAAGTTTAAAACTCTTAATTCATATAATTTCATCACGGAATGTTTTATATCAATGGCATCATTTTGGAAGAAACAGTGCACATGTTCTGATAAAGCTGCAAATCAAATTTCAGTAAATTTGACGAAGTTTTTCTAAGTGTAAAAATAAACTGAATAAGCAAATTAGAAGTGTTAAAATGACTTACTCATTTCCTCATCTAAATTTATGAAGTTCATTTTTTTTCTAAAAATGTAGTACTAATAAGGGTTTTAATTGAATATATTCACATTAATTTTATTTATAAGTATAAGCTTTTTCTAATTTCTTCACTTATCATGCTATCACTGTGAAAATGACATTTTTAATGAGAAATTGTTTCTAATATTTTTTAAAGATTAGTTTAATGAGATACTTTTGTTAAATCTATTATTTTTAAATCAGTTATTGACTGGTTTATTCTTAAATATAATTATTATTTTAAGTATATATTTTTTCGTTCCATCACTATGTTAACATTTGCTAATTGTTAGATTAGAATAACTTTAATATTTATTAACATTAAGTGTGACTGCTATGTTTTTCTTGTTTACTACCAACTCCTGTATTTCATTGCTAAATAGCGGAAATTTCTGACATATTTTTCTTGTCACTACAAAATAGCCTACTCACCGAAAATGACCCATTTGATTTATATGAGAGTTATAGTTTGACATTTAGGCTGCAATCGACAGAGGGTTTTTCTGGTATTTTATTTCAATAGCTTTTAATGATATGTGGATGATATTAAAACCTTGTTTTAAGCTAATATTACTATTACTTTGTGATGAATGTGTTTCCATTTTTCTGTTTCTACATTCTTTTATTGTTTTTGACATCAAAATTTTCTTTCTATTATATCTGTTTCGTAATTTTATTTTAAAAAACTATTTCCATGGAAGCAGTGAGTAAAATGAATTTTCAAGTTTGCCTGTACATTTTCACTAATTTTTATTTGCTTTTAAGATTCTGATATAATTATGGCTGACAACATCAAAGTTTCGGTTCGACTGAGAAAGTTAATACCCTCGTAAGTATAATTTTTTATCATGCTCATATAAATTGATAGTTAACAGATGATAAATTTTTCAAGATTTATTCCTGCTGTACTTAAAGGCAGGGTGTATAAAAATCATGATTTTTTTTTAAAAAATCAAAAAAATTGGATTTTTTTTATTTTAATCGGATTTTTTTGATTTTAATCATGATTTTTTTATAATTTCAATTCTATGGAATATAATCAATTTTGTGTACCATAGATTTAAAGTTGTATTGTATTACTATTGTTACTTATGGTATACATTGGAAATAAACATTACTAACCATTATCAACAAAATATTTCTTAATAATTTAAAAGCAAAAAGTGAAATAAGAAATAAACAATAACAAAGTGATTTCAAACTACAAATCAAGAAAGAAATTGTCTATCAAACAATATGTGATAATTATTAATTCTACATCTACAATATCAAATTATTTAAACAATCATTTAATTAGTTTTATTTAAAGATTTAAACATAAGGACTAATTTAGCTGCCTTTTCTACACCCAGTTGATTCCGTAGTTTAATATGTACAAGTCCAAAAGTGGAAAACATCCTCTCTATCCCTGCAGTTGTTCCTTTTGCAGTACATAACAACTGTATTGCATCAAACTCTTTTTGACCTACACAGTTCTTTAGAAGCGCAATTGATTTCCACCATTCCAAGATGTTTAAAGATTCTAGAGATTCTTTATCAAACAAAGTTCCATTAAACGGAGGAGAGCGTACAATGAATTTTAGCAAAATACTTAATAAGGAGGTTTCTCCATACTTTTCTTTAACAAAGTTTACAGCTTGATCTTTTTCATTTAGTGTTAAACATTGTACTTCAGAATTAGGATCCAAGAGGTAAGCTAGGAAATGAGCTGGTGTTAACGCTTGTTCATATCGTTTAGTAAAAAAATTTTTGCAGCAATTATTATTAGAATCTTTCAGAGTTTCCTTTAAATTTTTCCAGATGTTGACAACATTTGATAAACTACAATTATCTTTTTGCATTTTATCTAATGCTACAGAAATGGGTTTTAACATTAAAATCAGTGATTGATTAAAATCAGTGATTTTTTTAAAAAAATCATTTGATTTAAATCATGATTTTAATCAATGATTTTAATCATTTGATTAAAATCATTTACACCCTGACTTAAAGAGTTTGACTATGCAGTGAAACTTAAGTTATAAACTGTAGGTTGACCACTTCTGGTGCTTTGTTTAGTGGTTAACTTAGAGCGGTCATTAACTTGAGGGAAGGAGCCATTGTCCGTAATTTGATATGAACTTACTTTTATTAAGAGATCAATGCATAGTTCAATAAATAAATACATTTAAAACTATGAAAATCAATAAAAATTTTTTAATTATTTCATATGAAATGCTTTGATTGATTAACAATTTCTTTTTAAAAATTTTATTTAAATCAATGGTTTTTTTTTTTTTTAGAAAAATTGATTTAGCATACCTTGCTTGATATACAAAATGTTCTTTGATAACTTAAATAATTTCTTTTATCTTTAATTATTGCTAATTCTACATTATTTAAATTTATAGAAACATGCAATAAAAACTTTAGAAACTTTTTTTTATTTTAAACATATGCTTTAAATTTGGTTTTATAAAATGTCTTACCATGATTTTATAAAAAATAATTTTTTTTTTTTTTGATACAGTAATTCACTGATTTTTATAAGTGGCAGGCAGTTACTGTATCTTTAGTTCTTTTTTAGAAACACTTATGTATTCATATTCTTTAGGGAGAAAAATAAAGAAATATTGTGGACAGTGAAAGACAGGAGAACTGTCTCTGATGCTAATTCAAGCTCTTCATTTTCATATGGTATGTATTACTTATGTATTTGTTTATGTTTTTTAGATATAATAATTTCAGCAAAGAAACTTAAATATCTGTAATTTGCAAAAAGGAAAAATTTTTTTGACTGAGATTCTTTTTTAATGCCAGATTATTATCAAATGTAGACAGTAGTGAGACAGCTTTTTGCTTCATGAATTTATGTAAAAAAGATGCTTTTAATTCAAAATGTTTTGAAAATAAGGATAGGAAAAGTGTTATTTTGCTATGAATTTTAAAAGGTCTTTGAAATTAGAAAAGATTTATTTTAAGCTATAAATATATGTAAAATAATAATCTTTTATCAATTTTGACACATTTTACTAATAATCAAAAAAGTTTATACAAAAAAAGAGAAAAAATATTCATTCCTAATTTGTGAAACTAAACTTTTAATATTAAAAATTTTATTTGCCATTGTTATCATATTTTTAAGAAAAAGTAATAGAGAAATAATAAAAAACGCTCTTATGTTGCACCATATTAAAAACTTCAATAGTGAACGGGGGGTTATAAATAAAAGATATTGAAATTGCTAAGCGGAAATAAATGCAAGTGTCAGAAATATCTTCTGGATTTAATCAAAATGTACTTGATATTTATTATTTCTGTTCTTGTTTTATTTTCTTTTAGATATCTGATTGTTTGGTAATGAGTTCAACTCAAATAAACTTTAAATAGACAGTATACCATTTAAATATTATCCTCTGCCTCATTTCCTCCTGTTAAACTCCCTCAGCAGTGTGTTTGAACTTGTACTGTCTTAACTTATTGCCGAGAATGCAAGAGTTGCACACTTTTCTTAAATATCAGAGAAAGCATTCATCTGTGATTGATCAGTATTTTTCAGTAAATTTTTTAGTGTTTTAATGACATGGTGAACAAATGGTGAATGAATTCCATGGCACTAGTTGGCAGGTGACATGAATTATGGTAGCACTCAAAAAATTCATGTTAAATTAATTTTTTTGATTTACATTCTCTGAAACATTTTTTTTTTTAAAAATTCCAATAAAAGAAACCATTAAATGTGGACTCAGAAATAAGTATGATTTTAAGCACCCTTATGACATTTTCCAACACACAAGGTTGACTAGTGCAAGCAGTGCCCCCTCATCTGTGGAAATTTGCGTCATAGAGGAGACAGGTTTTTTCTTGGAAAATTTGTGAGTGTGATGAGTTGTAAAGAGCGAAACCAAATTACAAATAATGAAAATAAAATTATAGTATAGTAAATTTGCACAGTGTTTTCATCAATGAATTCTATCAAAGATTGTAAGAAACTGTCTTGTTTCAGATTTGAAGCAAGTTAGCTAAGCAGCAAATAAAATTACATAATGTAATATAATTGTTCGAAACCAACCTAATAGATAACAGATTAGTTTTTAAGCAGAAGTCTAATAACTGGCACTTGAAAATAAACTTATTTAATTTGCACACTGATCAAAAAGTTGTACCATCTCTTGTTTCATTCAATCCTGTGCAAAAAAATATATAATAATAAAATTAAATAATTGAATATTTTAGTTATAAATTTCTGAATATAGGATCTTTCTGCTTAGTCAAATTCTGAATAGTTGGGCTTTTTTTCTAATGTATCAATAAAGTCTTTGTCAAGGATTTTTTTTCTTTCTTCAAAGTTCTTGTTTTGTTCTTAAATAGTTCTGAGTAGATCGTTGTTTAAAGATTTTTTATAAAAATTACTAACATTGTTTTTTCAGATCGTGTATTTGCTGCTGATGAAAACAATGAAGTTGTCTATGATGATGTTTGTGCTCCAATTGTTAAATCTGTTATAAGTGGCTACAATGGTAATTATAAATTGATAAAATAATATAGCATATATGCATACTGGGCTATGAACCTTGCTATCTAATATCTTTCTAATTTGTTTGCTGAATTTGTTTGTGAATACGCATTAAATAAATTTTTGAGACTTAATTATGTTTTTACTAGCTAAACCATTATCCTTAATTTTAAATTTTTATTTTTAACCAGCATTAAAAAGGAAACCTTTTATGCAAGAACGCAGGTCGGCCAGTTTTTATTAAAGAAACCCATTTTTATTTTTAATAAAAAGCTGACTTTCATTGCCTTTTTTTTATTTTTTCATCTTGTTATTCACAAATAAAAAGGGTACTTTTAAATTCGACTTATTGATTATTATTCAGTAAGAAATTAAGCTTAAAATAGTTATTATATTATGGTGCATCAAATGTCTAAAATTAAAAGCAGCAGTGAGAGTTAAGTGTGTAATAAATATAAAATATAATATTACTTTAAAACAAAAAGTATTTTACTAGTTGGCATAGAATGTTGCAATAAGCAAGAAAAGTTTAAATGTACAGTACCTCCACTTGAAATAAATATTTTGTAAAGCTTACCATTTAAAAAAAAAAAAAGAAAGTAAAGAAAAAAACAGAAAGTACTTTTGTTTACATTCTACTAACAATGGAATTGATGCAGACAAGCATTTACTTTGCCATTCTTTATGAAGCATAAATGTATACTTTTTCCTCAAATAATTTAACAATTTTATATCCACTTGTTTGCTACTTGGTAAATTAATCAAAATTCAATTTTGTGTTTTAGATTTAGAGTTAGTTTTTATGATGGCAATAAATGTACTATATCATCATCAAGTATCATAAAATTTCCAAAATTTCTTTTCTTCTCCCGAATTTTAGTGTTTCTTTTACAGGAACAATATTTGCATATGGTCAGACGTCTTCTGGAAAAACCTATACCTTAATGGGAGATGGAAAATTTGATTATGGTATTGCTTATTATTGTGTAAGCAATTTGTTTGAGCAAATTCAGAATGTAAGTACCTCTTGATAATTTTGTTTCCATAAATATATTTTTTAAAATTTATTTTATTTAAATAGACTGTTCTATGTATTAAATTTTTTTTCGTGCTTTACCATTTATTTTTGGAGTACTTTGATTTTCAATTTAAAGGTTAAACTCTGTTGTATATGTTACCAGCAAAGTAATAGATGGTGTGTGGCTTCCAAGAACAAATTTAGAGCTTATCACTCAGATAATGAGCATGACATTAAACAACAAAGAATAAAATAGGCAAGTTACATTATCAGAATGGATAAAGACTGTACCCAAAAAAGAGTTTTTAATACCAGACTAATTCGCACACAATAGAAGGCATGTCAAATTTGAGAGGGATAGATGGCCCAATAAGACCTTTTGGTCTTAAAAACTGGGAAATGCTAGCAAGAAAAAGGTTGCTATGGAAAAACCTTTTTGAGAATGCCAAGGCCCATCCTGGGCTGTTATGCCATTGATAATGAGGAAAGTACAAAAAAAAAACCAGCCACAGTTTTTCTCAAACCAGTTGGAACCCATCGATTTGAAACTGGGTGGGCTTCAATCTGCCACCAATAATAGTTTTTTAGTCCTTCACAATTACAACTCATTATCCTGATCCATAGAAGTATATCTTTCTATTTCAGGGTGGCTGTTTCATCATTATTAACTATATTTTTGGCTTAATACTACGAAATTAGAGAATTAGATTTAAATGAAAAATAAACAAAAAATCGAATAAAATTTTTTCTTGGGAAATCCTGCGTGCATTTATTTGGGAACTGTTCTGTGAATAACTGTTTGACATAGTAAATAAATTCATATTCAATGCATGAAATGCAAATTAATTTATGAACCAAAAATGTGCAGGTAAAAAATCTCACTGAAGGACAAAACTCCATTCCACTTCTTTAAAAATTGAAGTTAACATAGGTAAACTTAGCTTTAATAAATTACTGTTGCTAGAAAAAAAGAGACATTAGAGATATTTGTACTGCTTCATCAAAATAAATTAATGTGAAACCAACCGATTTTTAGTATTTATACTTATTAGCAAACTTATTAGCTTTTCAAATAAATATGTTTTAAAAAGCTTTTGTTTTATATATTCTTTGAAAAGTAATTTTATTTAAACATTAATCACTTTGTAGATGGAAAATCATGAATTCTTGCTTCGAATATCGCTAATGGAGATATACAACGAGAAAGTGATGGATTTGCTCGTAAAGAAATCTGAAAATCTTGAGATTCAGCAAGATCAGGTAATTATGATGTCTCAATCGGGAACATGCTTCCATGTTTTCTCAAGATTTTTGAACCACTCGTGAACTCTTTTTAACCCAAATAATCTAAATTTCTCCTTTAATCCATTGATATTTCTCATTTGACTTTAAATGCATATGTTTCGACCTAACAAAATTTTGTGTATAACTTTAATTTAGATTGTTTATGTAGGATTTAATGTAATGAAGGTTTAATTGATTCTGGCAATTTTTTAATTAAATTATATATCTATACTCTTTTCTGTTATTTTCCTGTATTTTATCACATAGTATGTTTATTCTTGCTTCAAATTTTTTTAATTTTTTATTTTCAACTTCACTAGCAATTTAAAAGTATTTTATCTTATTTTTGTGCTTGAATAAAGTAGCATTTGAATCACTCGGTTGAATAATCCTTTTTCGATGTGCTTCATTTGCATGGATACTATTCTACTGACCATGTGGTGAGTCAATAATTTTATCAGCTATAATTGGTACTAATCTTCTCCAAAAAAAATATTTCTTTTTTAAAACTTCCTACTATAATGTTTATACAATATTATGACACGCAAAGTTCAATTCTTGCATTTCATTTCATTAGTCAATTTTTGATGCGACAATACAGCTGTTTTTTCGATCGATTTTTTTCATAATTATTGCTGTTGATTTCCATGTTTTTAAAATCCTTATATATTTTTACAAAATAATTAAGAAACCAGAAATTAGAATTGTACATATGAGTAGTTTCATTTTGCGTTATTTCAGTTTTTTATTTTCTTATTTTATTTATAACACTTAGTTCGTGAAAATCCGATCATTAGAACGAAAGTTATTCAGGGTGATATCTTTTTTTTTTTTGCAGACTGTACAATGTATGAATGTGTGTACATACATTGCATGTATACATATGTACATACGTTGTATTAACGTATGTATACAATATAAGTATATCCAATTAATGTGTGTGCATATGTACTATACATTTATGTCTGAACATTGTGTATAATGCTATAAATAAAATGGTTGTAAGTTAACTGAAAACGATTCAAGCAATTTAAATGACAAAATCAAACTATTTTTAAATTTAATTTTCAGCTTTAATTGTTCTATATCATTTTTAAATTGTTAGAATAAAAAATAATTTTCAGATATTTTCATAAAATGTTTGACACCACAAATAAATTTTTTTGTATTATAATGCATAGTTCATCGAAATTTTTAGATGGCAAAAAAACTGTTAATTTCATGTATGGAAACAATATTTAGGAAATTAAAATTAGGTAATCGTTTGCTTTCCAAAAAATATGATTATGTCAAAAAAATATGAGTTTTATATGTCATAGAATAAATTTTAAAACAAACTTTAATAACTTTATGTATATAATTTTTTTTAATAGATGCTCAATGTATGTGCACATTGTAATTACATATATTTAAATGTAAGCATGTAGTTATACATTACATGTATATGTTTTATGTAAATACGCACATTGTGCATATAACCATTTTTTGTACATTCATACATTGCATTTGCATATATATTAACAAAGTATTGTATAAGTATAGTATATGCGTATTGTATTAAGTATATTACAATATAATTTTATATATTGTACGTACAAACAACATTTGTGCATACATTGTATATATATATAAGAATCGCAAATTGTATGTTCATGCGTGCGTACATTCTTTGTATTTACTTGTAATCACAATTACATGTAATCATATATTTTGGTTGCTAGTAATCGTAATTGCCAGTAATCAATATTGCTGTGATTACTTGTAATTGCACTTACTATGCGTGCGTACATTCTTTGTATTTACTTGTAATCAGAATTACATGTAATCATATATTTTGATTACTAGTAATCGTAATTGCCTGTAGTTGATATTGCTGTGATAACTTGTAATCGCAATTACTTGGAATCATGATTACAGTTGTAATCAATATTTTGGTGAATTGTAATCACGATTACAAGTAATTGATTACTGTAATCAAATTTTTTAATCACGATTACAAGTAATTGATTACTGTAATTGTTTGTTGTAATCATGATTACAGTTGTAATCAAAATTATGTTATCTTGTAAACATGATTACAAGTTATTGATTACTGTAATCGAAAAATGTAATTGGTTACATTTTTGCCCTACTCTGCCCTCTACTAATTGCATAATTTTTTTCTAACTTTTATTATGCTTAATTTTTTGTACTATTATTATTATTTTTTTTTTACTTATTACTTTTATTATTGTAACATTACTTTTAAAATTTTCAGTGCTGTAAATTGATTTTAGAAAATACCTTTGTAATATTTTGAGGCAAGATTTTAAAAAAGAATAAAGTGAAGGGCTTTCAATATTTTAAATGCAGCGAAAAACCTTATATTATTCAGATTTGTCATTCCAAAATACTTTAATTCATCTCTTAATGATTTGATTTAAAAACAATTGAAGTAAAAATTTTTAATTATTTCAGATTTGTTAAATATTATGAGTGCTTAGTCAGGGAAGTATTTCTTAGTTTCTGTTGCCGACCCTGTTATTATAGCTATATTTATTGTTACTACTGTTTATTAACGCAACTGAGAATTACTTATTTTATATTGTATAAAAGAGATTGTATCTTTTATTTTTTTTTCATTCTCAATCAACTATTTTTTACTACTTTAGTTTGGATTATATCAAGTGTTATAATACGCAAAAATCTCTTTATATATATTTTTTTTTAAAAATTGCCAGCGTAGTCTCGTCTCTGAATACAGTTTGACAGAGGAAAAACAAAATCATCTGAAAGTTTTAGATAAATGTTTGAAAAAATTCTTATATGACAACTGTATTAATGTAGGTAAAATAATTATTTTATTTCAAATTTGAATTTTTTTTTATTTGCACTATTTAATACAGTTTTAAAAAAAAAAAGGCATTCAAAGTATAATGATTTTCGCTGTCTTGTGAATGATTTTGATTACTAGTAAAAGTCACATAAAGATTATCATTTATTTTGTAGCCACGGAAGTTTGTATTTGAGGATAAAAAAGTTAATTGCTCCACTTAAAATGCTTTTCTTAACATCTAATATACACATACTCACATTTAAATAATTTAAACACATTTAAAATAATTGTGTTATGTGTTAAAAAAAAACGTTTCTTCCCCTTATTTTATCCTTTTATTTTGCATAATACTTATTGTTTATTTATACTTATTTTTTAACATGTCTGTTTTTTAATATTGTATGTATTGTATACAATGTTCATAATTTTTAGTATGGAACTTGTAAAGTTCTAAACCTGACAGAATTGGAAGTTCAAGAACCTGAGCAAGTTGTGGAGTTATTAAGAATTAATCTAAGTAAGTGAAATATTATTTCGTTATATAGTACGGGACCATAAATCCAAATTAAACAAAAATCTGTTAATTTTTAATTGCAAAATACTAATGTAATGCCCTCCAAACTCTTTATCTTAGGGAATGGGTAAAAGTTGTAAGGAATATAAAAAGTTGTATTTCAAAAATCTATCAAGATTTATCATAAGGGCCAATAGAATAAACCTTTTTAAAAGTTGTGTTGTAGTGCTGATACCGATAAGACAGAATTATACTCATGGAAGACACACACAATGAATTTATTAAGAGATTGGATAGTTATAATTAAATTGAAATAGAGCAAAAAAAAATTTGTTAACCAGTTAATCACGGAAAAGCTCCCTTGTGAATGCATGCTGGGCGTCCCCTGATGAAGTGCTATATTGCATTCATGTTTCCATTGTTCTATTTCAGTTTACTTTTTTATTTCAATTTAATTATGATTATCTATTTATTTTATGAATTTATTTGAAGACAAATTTTGCACCGATTTTGATTTAGCACTTTCTCAGATTTATTTCTTTTTGCATCTACAACTGATTTTTTTTTATCAGATTTTCCTTTAAGAAATACTATTGAAATTATATAAAAACACATTGACTCAGGTATAAGATTAAAAGTTACTTTTTTATGAAGACCAGAGATGGTAAACAAGGAGTCAATGCAGTTTAGGAGTATTGATGCAGTTTTAATAAATATAAATTATAACTATAACATAAATATAAACTATAACATCAAACTATATTAAATTCTACAATCTTGCCCCCTGGTGGTAAATCAGGCCAGCACTGACATCCGATTCTTTATATAATTCACGGAATTCCTCGGTTTTCAGGATTGTTGACATTTACCCCTTACCAGCTTCTTTAAATATATTTTAATGCAGTAATTATGTTGCAAATTCCGATTTTGTGACAGGAGAATTATTTAATCAATGAGATCTGTTAGCCCTCAATTAGATCAAATTAATTTTCAATACATTACAACATGGAAATCTCAAATTGCACATTTCAGTAATCATCGATCTTTCTTTCTCTTTTTTTGTAGTTAATACAATTGAATTTCTCATGGTTTTTAAAGTGCCAATATCATTACGACACACAAAATTTTAATCCCGCAATAAAATGACTTTTTGATGTGCTTAATTTGCGTGGGTACCATCGTAAGTCCATATGGTGATTCAATCATCTTATCGGCTATTTATGCTATGCATTTTCTCAAAAAAAACAACTTCTTTTTAAAGCTCCTTACTAAATTAAGTACTAAACAAACTACACATTCAGATAATTTCTTCCAGCAATTACATGTCTTCAATGATTTTACATGATTATGGAAGAAATTTTTTTTAGATATCCTTGTTTTTTTTTTTATTATTATTATACTCAGATTTGCTTGTGCTAGAAATTTAAAAAAGGTATCACTTATGTTTTTGTTTTTCTAATAAATTAATATTAATGAATCTTATATAATTTTTTAGAAAAACGAAAAACTGGGGAAACTTTGCTGAATCAAAGAAGTTCTCGATCTCACCTAATATTCAGAATGGTATGCTTTCATTATTATATTACTGACTCTTACGTAATTGAAAACCATTTTTTGTAAAAATCATTTCTAAGTTATTTTATATAAATTTCCAACTTTTTCCGTCTTTTGTAAGTTTTTATTTGTGTTTCTATATTATGTTTATTTTTTAAAAACTTTTTTGTTCTTAATTTTTTTTTATTATTATTATTACAACCTAAAATTGAATTGGATACGAGACTGAATGTTTACAAAATTATGATATGAACTGCTTATTATGATATTTGTACTAACTATATTCACAAACAATTATTCCAGATCTTAGTAGATAAGATTTTTTGGTTGAAAATATTTTATTCTAGAAAAGAAAGTCGTCATTATTTATTAAAAAGAAAAGGTATCATCAAATTTTGAACTGAAATATAAATTAGACTAAAGCTTGTTTCCTATATTGTATATTCAAGGTGACGTGAAATAACTTGAACACAGTTCAAAACCAAATATTTTTATCGGTCAATAAAATTTTTTAGTTAAGTATTGAACTAAACACACATCGAAACAAATATGAAAGTTGGTGATGTTATTCATCATGTTGCTCTAGCACACAGAATTCAAGACCCTCAAGATTGTTGCAAGTCACATTTTCTTCTTTGCTTCACAAAAATTGCCACCTTACTTAATAGGCTTGAAATCCTATTGAATTTTTGCTTTTAGTCCATCAAGGGTTTGTGCTAAACCTCTTAAGAATTTGACATTTATTAAAATTTTCTTGTTAAGAATGGGATGAAATATCAGTTTGTAAGTTGTGACTTGAAGCGGAAAATTTTTCTAAAACAAGTTTATCTGCATCTTGCAGGTCATAATATTATTACATTTATTTTATTGCCTGCATTGAACAATCAGCCTTATTTTGAGTTTACGACTGCTCATAGACGCACTGGAGACTTGTATCAAGTTATTTCATGTCACACTGATACAGGATACTACAAAAATATAAAATTTTCTTTATTTTTTATAGAAATTTCAGCTCTCCATTTGAATCTGTAATTTTCAAATTATGCACAACTTAGAAAGATAGCATGCTTCTTACTGTAAAATGGTGCATGAAGCAGGGATTAATATTTTGGACATTCCAATTCATTTTTTTATATTAAAAGCATTTTTGTTTTTACAAAAGTACGCACTTTTACAAAAAATTTAACTGTACTAATATTTTGTTACCTAATAAAAATTTTCAATAAAAAAAATACATTAAGAAGAAAATTTTAGATTAGCTTCTCCTTAATCCAATTTAATACAGTTGTTTCTTGAACAAAATTCGCTAACACAAATTTTCCTATATCAAGAAATATTCTAAATTCCTCGTGTGTGTCTGATGTTTGAAAAAAACCTCCTGCTGAACACAATTCATGAAATATTTTTTACACCCAAAATTTTTATTATCTTAAAGATATAGATTCATATGATGTGTGCACTGATGAGAATAACCAACCTTAACATTTGAAAAATAACTTCATAATTAAATGAATTCAAAAGAAATTTATTCTTATGAGAATAGAGTTACAGTGGATAATAATCCTGTTTTGTGTAATTATTGGGAAGTATCAGAAATATTAAATGAGATCATGAAATCGTATCGATTCCACTGGATTTCAGAAACTAGGGATCCATAGGCTTCCATATTTATGGGTTCCTTTTTCAACCAAAAGTGAATCCCTATTTAAAATATGAATCTTTATCCATTTACTAAAATTCAGATTCATACTTTCTGTGTATTGATAAACAAAAGGAAGAAGTTCAAAATAAGAATTGTTATATTTGAACAATCAAGGCATTTGATACTCAAAATTTCTGTAATTCTCGCCTTCATCTTTTAATACTGAACTAATATATATCTTTAAAGTTTAGTTACAATTATATTTACATAAACATGCCTAATTTTTTTCCATGCTGGAGAATTAGGTATTGCAAGGGACTCGTCATAACTTATTTCCCACATCTTATCTACGATTTTTAGCATATTTTTGTTTTTTTTTTATTTTTATTTCCAATGCAGCAGGCGATATAGACATTATCCTGACGCCGTACAGAGATCAAAAGAAAAGAAAAATACAAATACAGAAAGATATGAAATATGCAAATTAGAAAAACAAAAGCAAAACATCAAGCACAAAAATTAAATCAAGAACTTAAATTGTACAAATGTTCTCTGGCCTCCCAGTATCGGGAGTAGATGCAGTTCTTTGTGAGAACTGAACAGTTGAACATGGAAATACAAAAACAAAAGCAAAACACCAAACACAACAATTAAATCAAGAACTTAAATTGAACAAAAGTTCTCTGGCCTCTCAGTATCAGGAGTAGATGCAGTTCTTTGTGAGAACTGAACAGTTGAGAAGATGTTCAGCATTCATCGTCGCACCACTGCGACAGAGGGGGCAGGTAGGATTATCCACTATTTTGGGTAAGCCCACCTGCGTTCCACTGCAAAACATGCAACGAATCCTGTCTGCACTTCATATTAAAATAAAATCATCCAGATACACGAAAATCAATCAGAAGATCAAAAACAAAGAGATCTCGGCTGCAGAGTTGTTACTCACTTAGCACCTCCCAGGAGGCATGTGTAGCTTTAGGGATGCTACCGACGCGAGTAACTTTGCCTCCCATTTTGGGTGTGTGGTAGCACATATCTGGGATCACTGTCATTAACATTTGTATCATGGAAAGATGATGAATTAAAAGAAGAATTCAGTGAAATGTAAAATCAAATGAAAAAAAGATATTGATATTGTTTACGAGTAACTTTGCCTCCCATTTTGCGTGTGTGGTAGCACATATCTGGACTCACTGTCATTAACNAGAAAGAAACAACTAATTTTTTTTAATTAAATAAAGAATTAAGTAATGTTTTGTCGCTTTTTTAATAGTTTAACATTAGCACTTGAGATTTTTTTTTAATTAAAATTCTTTCAATATTTGTTTGTTTTATAATTTGTTAGATAGTCAGTATCATTTTTAAAAAAAATAAATCTTTAGTCGATTTTATTTTCGAAGAAAATAATAATAAAGTATTTCTTAAGTACAAAATTTGACTATTAGTTAATACTACCTTTTATTATTTTAAATAATTAAATAAAAAAGGGTCTAATGATGTCTCAAAAGCATGGTTTTTTTCCAACAAATAATTTTAAAAAATTTATTTTTTTTCTGAAGTGAACATTTCTTTGGTTTGTTTTCCTCTTTCGTTTTTTTTCTTTTAATTTTCATTGCATGCATGTAAAATATTTTATTACAGTATTATTATTTTTCAAACAATAAGTCTTAAATTATTTTTAATTCAAGAAAAATGAAATAAAGCTTGGGGTCATAGTAGAATATGTTTAGAATTAATATTTTCTTTAGTAATAGATTTATTCCTTTTTTGATTGATTGAAAGATTTCCCATAGGTAATTTTTGAGCATATGGTAAATCGCGATTCATCACTTTAACGCGATGTCTAACTGACGTATCACAATTTAAAATTTCTGACATCACCCAGTCCTAGTCATAGTATTTTTCAATTAAGCTATAATTTTAGTTAATTGGCTACTATTTTTGATAGATTTTTGTTCCTGTTCAGGCAACTATTTTCATTGTTTTAGGCAACTATTTTCATGCTTGAGGCTACTAAAAGCGACTATTTTTGTTCATTTTTTACTGTGGTAACCCTGTAAAGATATAGATTCATATGATGCATGCACTGATGAGAATAACCAACCTTAACCTTAACAAAATAACTTCATAATTAAATGAATCCAAAAGAAATTTATTCTTATGAGAATAGAGTTACAGTGGATAATAACCCTGTTTTGTATAATTATTGGGAAGAATCAGAAATATTAAATGAGGTCATGAAATCACATCGATTCCACTGGATTTCAGAAACTTGGGATCCATAGGCTTCCATATTTATGGGTTCCATTTTCAACCAAAAGTAAATCCCTATTTAAAATATGAATCTTTATCCATTTACTAAAATTCAGATTCATCCTTTCTGTGTATTAATAAACAAAAGGAAGAAGTTCGAAATAAGATATGTTATATTTGAACAATCAAGGCTTTTGATACTCAAAATTTCGGTAATTCTCACCTTCATCTTTTAATACTGAAATATAATATATATTTTTAAAGTTTAGTTACAATTATATCTACATAAACATGCTTAATTTTTTTCCACCCTGGAGAATTACGTATTGCAAGGGACTCGTCATAACTTATTTCCCAAATCTTATCTACAATTTTTAGCATATTTTTGGTGTGTGGTAGCACATATCTGGACTCACTGTCATTAACATTTGTATCATGGAAAGATGATGATTTAATAGAAGAATTCAGTACTTTTATTGGATTTATTTTTAGATCATTGAAAGTCGTTTACAAGTATTAGTTTTTCAAAGTATTAGTTTGACTAAAGTCCAGTTATTAATTTAACTAAATTTTAAAGGCTAATAAATTAAAGGAATTGATTTTCGATGCCCAGAAATTTTTGTTGACTCCTTTTGAGTTAGTGATATTGAGGTTTGATTGTGTTTGCTATTTAGAATGTATAATTTTTTAACCTATATCAAATTCTTTAATCTGAATCAATTTCTTGTATAATAATTCTTTTCAACCTAAATTTCTATATCTCAATCATAAAATACTTTTTATTTTTTTTATTTTTAGATCATTGAAAGTCGTTTACGTGGTGATGAAAATGCATCTGTTAAAGTTTCCCATTTTGTAAGTGCTTCCCTTTTCCTTCTTTCTTATTGAGTTGCATGAAAAATAGTTTTCTGGTGGAAAAAAAAATCCTGTCATAATATTGTTACTTTTTATTTATATAAATAACCACTTTTTATATTTACTGAAAGAATTTGTAAACATATAAAAGCAAAACTTTTTAAGGTTTTACATTTGATTTATAAAAATGATCTATTTTATGAGATGAAAACTTGCCTGTTCCAATTTTTACAGAATCTTGTAGATCTGGCAGGATCTGAGAAAGCAAGTGATAACAGTGGAGCAAGATTCAAAGAAGGTGTTAATATAAATAAGTCTTTAATGACTCTCTCAAAAATTATTTCTGAGTTGAGTGCAGAAAAAGAAAGGTACGTTAACTTGTATTGTTAATTATATAGTCTTTTTCCAGTAATTGATAAATCAGATTTTTATATAGAATAAGATGGTTTTGTAAACAAGGTTCCTGTGCTCCGAGAAGGCCTAGGATATTTAAAAATGTCAAAAATTCTATCAAAATTTCCATTTAGTCCCAGAATTTTGCTTTCATACGCTTTTCTATGTAGAACTTATTAACGTGCATGGAGATGAGGGAACAATTTTCCCAACTTCATGACGATGCTAATACTTGCTGTGGTGTATGAGTCGAAAAAGGTGATATGAAAGAGAAGGCTAATTTTCTTCTGTTTCTGAATTGACACCAGTTTAACTTGTATTTTCTCCAGAATTTCTCGAAAATAAACATTCTTTGTTTTTGTTTTTTCAGGCAAATTTTTCTTAACTTTTCGTTATTTTACCTTTATTAATTAGGTTTTGGTAATCCAGTATTTTATCATTTTTGTTTAATTTCCTATGAAATTTTTTTTTCTCTTAGACTAATTGGATTTTATTCTCTGTAACAAAAGTTGCTCATGATGATTCACGAGATGACAATTGATAAAACACGCATACCGATTTGAATTCAATTTGCTTTCGATTCCTATTCGCCAAATTAACTATTTGTTATGCCTTGTGTTTTTTTTAAAATTTTATTATTAGTTATTCATATTGACCTGATTTAGGAATTGTGCATCTCTTTTTACGTAACTCTAACTCCCACATCATATTTCAAATCAATTTGTTTACCAGATTTGTATTCATATGATTTAAAACTCACATATTGCAATTTTTATTCACTTGATTTAAAAATCCCACATCATTTTTATTCACATGATTTAAAAATCACACTGCACTATCCATGTTTGTACAAATGGAAAAAAAATGAACATCGAAAATTGAAACATCATGATCCGCATTTTTGAAAATTGCACATCTTTCTTCAAATTTGATTAACAAACAAAATTTTTGGATTTGTATTTTCTCATATTTAAGAGTAATATGTGGTGATTTGTATACACATGATTTAAAAATCACACATCTCGATCCATATTTGTGGGATTGTATTTATCTACAATTATTTTTCATATTTGTATACATGTTATTGTAAACATGTGTGATGGAGATGAAACTACGTATGAAAATTTTATGCTTCCTTTTTAGCTTAAGTACTTGGTAAATCTTAATGTCACAGCTTTGCTTTTACACAAACTCAAATTAAATATCAAAGCTATTGTACTTCTTGTCAGAAACATTTGTTTTGTTGATGGATTATGCAGTTAAACAAATCTGATTGTGCAAAAAACTTTTTTTTTTTGAACAGTTATGGTGGGTAATTCTGCAGTTATATCAAAAATTACTGATAATACAAAGAGAAGTTGTAAAGATTTGCTTTTTGTTCTGCACTAGTTTAATTTCCTGTTCGCTTGGATCTTGTCATGACCTTTAACCACAGGGTTAAATATTTCACTAAATTGATCTATGTATCAAAGCAAGCAGAGATTCAAACATAGTCAATTATGTGTTGCACTTTCAAGATGTTGCTATCAGGAGGGCATAAAAGTACAAATTAATGGCACACAAAATGATGAGTGAATTTGAGAAGATTTTTATAGAGAGGTTTTATAAAGATTCAGTTATGATTTTTTAATTTTATAGTCATTTTTCCCCTGACATTTTTTATTACTATTCAGTCAAAAATATTTATTAATAGTAAATAGATTTTTTGGTTGCTTGCATTTCACGTCTTATTCATTAATTAAAAATTTTTATTTTATAATTGTTTGCATCTTTCTTTTTTTTTTATTAGTATTCAATATGAAAAAGTAATTTATTAATCTCAATATTAATTTGTAAAATTTAAATTTATTCTGCTTTATAAGTTTCTATTTTAGAATTTGCTTTTTGTCTAGTTGAAACTGAATTGTTTTATTAGAAAGCACTTATAAATGTTTGCTTTTTTAATATTTCTCAGTATTTACTCGGTAATGTTCTTATTAGTTGGTCAACTTTTTTTTAAAAAAAATTTAAGATTTGTTTGTAACACGCCATCGTCTTCGTCGCTGTGAATAAAACCGGATAAAACCATCAATTGTCAAAAACTTGCCAACCCTGTCTAGTTATGATATTTTTCAATTTTTCGAGTGCCTGAAAAATGCTTAAAAGGTGCTTATTTTTTGTTAAAAAATTTGGTTGCGCACCCTTTTATTAAATGGAAAAATATCAAATGTTCTCAAACAAGTAACACTTCATGTTTGTTTAACGCTGCCTTTCACCACTAAAATACCATCTGAACCATCTGGGAGTGGTGTTTTTGTCAACAGCAATGATAGTGAAGTCAGGATCAATATCCAAAACCCTGACAATTGCTCAGTCTTTAGATCTGAGATCATGGCTATTGGAACTGCCTTTAATTATGCCCAGACAACTGATAATAATAGCATTTGGATATTGACCTACAGTAGGAGTGCCAGGGTTGGCAGGTTTTTGACATGTGACAGTTATTGACAGTTTAAACCATGGTTTAAACCGTCACGTCAAAAACCTCACTGTCAAAAATGTCGAAAATGTCAAAAACCTATATTCATATGTGAAATTTAATTAATACATAAAATTTATATATTTTTTAAAGGATAGTGTTTCTAAATATGTTCTAGAAAAAATTAAATTTAAAATTTTGAAGAAACACTTATATTTTGAATAGTAACCAAAATCTTGTACTTTTGAAAACTCACATCTTTTGTAATATTATGTATTCATTTTCATGTGTTATTGAAAATCTGCAGTGATATTATTAAGAAATTTATTTATAACCAAATTTAGTGTATAGTATAGATTATACTAAAAATTAGACATTTTTAAAGATAAACATTAGCAGTTTTGTACATTAGACATCTTCTTTTAAAGAAAAATCTTTTTAATATTCTTTTAAATCTTCTTAATAATCTTTTTAACATAAGACAATACAAATTTAAGTGCTTTCTGTTAAATACACAGAGTAGTTAGTGTCGATTTACAGTATATTCAGCCTATTCATTTACTATGCTGAAAATTTAGTTTATCCAAATACTTGTGAATTTCATTTTGCTGAATACTATATAGTTTTGTTGAATATCTAAATATTCAGCTGTTGAATAATTACTTCTTGCTTTCAAGATATGCATTATTTGTATTCTTAATACAAGTGGAGAAAAAAAAATTAAGAGATAAAAATTGTTTTAAAATGATAAGTGTAATAATTATAAATAAATATAATAAACAATATGAATTATATTTATCATTATTCATAAATATAACTACTTTTAAATTCAAATTAACATACTGGATAATAAAGATATTCGGTATAACATTAAAAAAAAATTTTTATACACTTGTATCTTATATCAAGTTTGTATTTATACAACATAACTTGTAAGTTCCTTATAAATATTAGTTATATGTTCCTTATATGTCAAAAATGCATAGTAATAAACTTTTAATTTTCTTAAGTATCAAAAAAAAAAAAAAAATTTTTAAATATAAATATTTAAACAATTTTTGTGCAAAATTTTTCTGCACATGCATTTGAATATAAATTTCTGAGATTTTAAATCTGTTATTTTACCTTAATTTTAATTAAAAAATATTTTAAAACCTGCTGATTACCTATAGTATAATTAAATTTCAATCTAATGCATGGCAACTGTTGGTAGTTTTGAAGTTTATATATTTTCTTGGCAAACTTCAGTTTTTGACATTTTTGACGGGTTTTTGACGGTTTAAACCAGTATTAAACCCTTGTCATGTCAAAAATCACTTTTTGACGTCAAAAACCCAACCCTGAGGAGTGCTATTCAGTATTTCAAGAACTGGCCGGAAATATTTGATTTTCCTGGCCAGCTTCTATCTGACATAGGCCTGAAGACAACAACAAGCCTCCAATGGATCCCATCGCATGTTGGGGTACATGGCAATGAGACAGCCGATGTGCTTTGCAAGAATGGCAGTGATCTTCCTATGGACTGTTTGAACTGTCTTACTCCTACTGAGATCCACTCCCTGGGAAAACATTGTTTGCTTCCAGTGTGGTGCCGTACTCCATCCCATCAGTGATATGCTGCCACCGCCCTGGCCTATCATTAACATGCTGCGGCTCTCAGCCTTTCCAATCGGTTATGGCCAGATTTCGTAGTGGCCATCTTAAGTGTTTAAGGTTTCAAAATGAGGAGAAGACTTTCCAACCTTGTTCCTGCTCACAACCTGCTAGTCCTGATCACCTTCTTTTTTGCCTTGGCGCTTCTTTTAAGCAGCTGCTGGTTGATCGGGACTTTCTGCAGATATATGGGGAAGTGACGCGACGGGGCCTTCTAGACCTGGTCTAGGCTTTCCTTCTTTAGGGGGATGTGTAACAACAACTAAAATACCAATTGTCAGGTTCAAAATATGTTGGGGGTGGGTCTATTTCTAGAAATTCTGTGTAAATCCATTCTGGGGGATTTAAAATCCTGCTGTTTTGGAGATTTGTCTAAGTTGCGTCCTGGTATATTTCCACGATTTTGTAAGTAAATGTTAAGTCTGTGAAAAAATAAGGATGGTAGTTCCATGCGAAGCACAACATTTTACAAGATAAAACTTTCTATCCAGCTCAAAATATTCATTCGGCAATGGCAAGTAATGAAGTGTTCTGTGCCCTAAGCAATGAATTCATTGTAACATTTCTCAATTTTTTTTCTCATTATTTATGTGAGAAGCTTGTTTTTTAGACAGATCAAAATTATGCTCTAAAGATCAATAAAAAGGTAACAGAAAAGAGGGGCCAAATAGGAACACCTTTATTCAAATTACTATCTTCCTTTTATTAGGCTTTATTTAATAGAAGAATATAAATTTTTATTAGTTTATTTTTAGTATATTTTAATTCCATAATTTCCTGCTATTGATGTCAGTTTTCTTTACAATTCTGATGATAATTAAGGGTTACATACTACAAATTTTAAACGTGTCTACTGAATTGCCGGAAGTTTTGTTTTTAAAAATTTAAGTATTTGATTCCCAAAGTTTTTATTTGTGAACATTTTTTTCCGAGTTTGTGAAAACATATTTATGGATGTCCCTTATTTTTGTAGTTTTTTTACATTTGATGTTTTTTGTTAATGTGTTTTAAATCATATTTATATTCCCATTGTAACATTTAATTGTGGCTTTCTACAGAGACTATTTAAATTATCAATATTGTTGCTATAAAACATATTTTATTTCTTTCATTTCAGCCAATTTATTGCTTTTCGTAACTCAAAACTTACAAGGATTCTCCAAAATTCTTTGGGTGGCAATGCTTTAACTGCAATCATCTGCACTATTACTCCAGCTTCAAATGAAGAGACACTCTCAACATTAAAAGTATGTATTTATTTAAAAATATCATATACTAGATATCATATAAAGTATCGTATTAAAAGTACTACTTATCAGTGCTGTAAATTAATAGCTTGCAAATCTAATCAAGTCATTGTATTTTTAATAAAATTAAAACCAGTCCTATAATCAGGATCGTCACTGATAATTGAAATACAACCATTACTTTTTTTACAAAAAAAGGGCAACTAAACAGTGACTATTTTAAGAAAGCAGGTGACAATTTTAAAAAAATAATACCAAACCGGTGGATCACATTAAATCTAATTCATATAGTATTCTCAGAATTTAATTAAAAATGTCGAAATGGCCAAAAACACAATAAAATTATATCAAAATTTAATTACAAATGTTTTATTTAATACTTTTATTTCTAAAAAATATTTTACTTATATCTTTGAATCTCCTACCTACAATAATTTATAAATAATTTAGTCTTTTTTTTTTTCTAAGAAAAAAATATAGTCTCACAGTGGACTTATAGTAAGACACTGTTCCCAGTAAATCACCAAAATCAAGCATTACTGGTGGCGTTCAGTAAGTGTGTGTGTGACCACTTTGATCAGTCCACAAAGGGTGAGTGGTATCAGCTCTCGTTAAACTGTTCTACCATAAAATACATGACTACTTGCATTTCATCAGGGCTACCAAAGCGAGGGACTTCATCCCTTCAGCAGGGGATCAAAATTGTGATGATTTATCTTTGGAACATATGCAGGGATGTTTCCCGAACAGTTGCCAATAGTACGTTGCTCAGCTTGAGTGCAATTTAAATAAAGTACTATAAAAAAATATAAGCTTTAAGGAATTTTTTTTCAAATTTTAAGAGAATAAAATAATTAATAAAAGTTTTTAAAATATTAGGATTTTATGTTTGCGTAGTGAATTTTTTTCCTTGCTTAAATAATGTATTTATTATTTTTAGTTTGCTCTGAATGCGAAAAAGATTAAAAACAAACCTCAAGTGAATGAAGTTGAAACAGAAGAGACTTTAATCAAGAGTTATGCCAATAAGATACAAAAATTAACCAAACAGTTAGAAGTGAGTAAAATATTAACTAATATAATTAACCAGGGATGATTGTGCTCCAGAAAAAATACGATTTTCTGGGATTTTCACTTACACGCCATCCGGAAGTTTCCAGAAATTCAAAGTCCAGAAGTTTCAAGAAGTTATCAATCACATTCGTGTATAAAAATTCTTGTATATTTTATTTTAAAATATTAGAACTGGAATTTATACTGGAACTTGGTATCTCTTACATTTGTAAATATTTTTTCTATAATAAATATGATAATAAATAATAAATATGATTATGAAATAATAAATATGATTAGAACTGACATGAAATAATAAATAAGATAAGAAATAATTATTTTTTAAAATTTTGCTGCATATAATTTTATCAGAATTTTATGTTTTAAAAATAATCGATAATTTAAATTTATAAAGATTGTAATTATTTTTTGAAATGCATCATTAATGATTTTACTCAAGAAATTTTCGGGATTTTTGAGTTAGTCTCACAATCACCCCTGATTAACTGAATAACAACTTTTATTATTTGTTACTATTTATTTGTGTTACAGGCAACTAAAGAAGAAAAAGACCAAGAAACCAAAATGCGAAGAGATATGCAAGAACAAATTGAAGCTTTGAGAAAGAAATTTGTTCAATTTGTACCTCAAGATGAGGTAAGTAAAACAAAAAATAAATATTAAGAAGAAATTTTAGTATTCTTGTGACTTCCAACTGTAAGATGTAGTTAAAATATTGTTTCTTATAAAAGTTATAATGCTTTATTTTATTTAACTTTTAGAAGACTACAAGAAAAAGGAGAGAAACTTGGGGCGGAAATATGAAAAATAGTCTCCTACAACCAAGTCGGCCCTTGAAGCTGGCTGTGGTAGAGGAAGGAAATGAAATGACAATAGATAATTCTGGTAACTTTTAATGTTGATAAAATTAAATTCGTTTCATTTTGTAAATTAAATTTGTTTTATTTTGTAATTAATTTTTCCTTTTAGGGAGAATTTGATTTATGTATAGGTTACCATCAATGCTTGGTGTTAAAGTTATAATGTATTCCAACTTTATTAAAGTTGTTGTGAAAATAATTTGCTAAAAGTATAGTTGGTATTAAAGTTGTTATATGCTTCTTTAGGCAGCAATCTATACAATAAACAAATGTAGTTTTTTCGTAATTGTTAGGGTATTTAACTATTTTCTGATTTTTATGATCTTTCAGAATAACCTATTTTCTATAGATACAAATACTGTATTTTTAGATTTCAGTAATCAAAAGATTTAGATTTTTGATCCAAAATCTTTTTGTTTTAGTTCATAATGATAGTTCAGTACCTTAACCACTAAACCATTGTGGCTCGTTTTATATTTTAACGCTTGTCTTTTTAATGGCGTGTTTATGGATAAAATATCATTGAATTATATCTTTTTCTCATAACGTATTTGAAACGGTATTCTTTCATGCTTTAACACAATATCTTTTTTCTTTATGGATGCATCTCTAATAACAACTGTGCCACTCTCTCTATTAACAATAGCCACTTTTCAGTCCTGAAAACTGAAATCAGTTTTTAAAAAAAATCCAATTTTAGGGTAAATTGAATTTTTTTTTCCTTAAAAATGTAATAAATATTTTTTGTTAAAAGTAAAAGTGAAATATTAAACATTATTATTTTTTATAATTATTGCGAAGTGATCAAGTAAGGACGTCTCAATGATTCTTCAGATCGTGAACTTCGTTTAACTTTATATCATGCTTGCTTAAGCAAAATGTGTACTATGGTTGTATCTAAATTAGCTTCAGTTTTCATTTTGAAATGCTTTCCAGAGTTAAAATAAGATTATTATTTATTTATTTTTATTTGTTTATTTATTTATTTATTTTATTTATAATTTTAGATGAGACAATAAGTAATGGTGAAATGAAAAATAAGATATATAAATAGCTTCATGATAAAATTGGTAGTTTATTATTTAATGATTAGTGTTAAAAAATGCATAAACTTAGGTGTTATTTTTTTCCCATCTGCTGTTAAATATAAATTAATAAAATAAACTAAAAAATATCAAAGAATTAATAATTAAATCACTGATTTAATATATGAACCATTATTTGCTAGGGTACATTTTGAAGGCCTTGGGCTATAAATTTGTGAAAATTCTGGTAAACAGCACTAGACCTTGTTAATTAGTTTTAAAAAAATAAATTCAGTCACGAAATTTTTTTAGAGTGGCACCTATGAAATAGGTTTGTAAGAAATATTTCTTCCAAAAACACTGGAGGAAAACACCAGAAGTAGCTGGAAGAGAAAGGAGAAACTGGGCAAAATGGAAGAAACTATATAAAGGAGCAACATAAATGTTTAACATTAAATATGAAATAAATAGTTCAAATTTAAAATGAAATTCAATTTTTTTGCATTTTAAACCTAATTCCCATACAGTATGAAGTCCTATGTCAGGAAGTTTGTTTGCTGGTAACCTTATCTTAACACATTTTTACTATCAAAATAAACATATCTTTTTACTTTTTTCAAAAAAAATGTATATATATTTGTGAAGCTGTGGTTCAGTTGACATAGTTCAATGTTGAATTTAAATACATCAACATTGAATCTTGTCATTTCTCAACTCCTTTATACTCCAAATGCAATGCAGCACAAATGCTAACAATGCAATACTCATCACTAGGGTTCACGCCAGCCAGTATAGCAACATGGTGACAAATGTTGCTAAAATCATTCGCATGGGGGAAAAATTGTTGCCTTGTTTGGAATTAGCAGAATAGTATAGAAAAATAGTTTTTTGTATCTAATTCCTTTTAATTAAAAAAAAATTATTGTGCTAATTTGCTATGCTAGGTATAGAATTCCAATGCATGGTATTTAAATGGGACTACCAATATAGTCTGGTACACAAATTCTTTAATTTTAACATTTGAATTCTAAGTTAATATGTTGTGCTGTGCTTTTCATTCATGTACTGACATTGTGATTGTTCATCAATAAAATAGTATTTTTTGCTCTTTTAGAATTGACTATTTAAAAGTTTATAATTATTGATTTTTAACTTGTTATTTCATTAGCTCTTACTTACTGTTTCCCTCATTTATTTATGTATTTGATGTCAGCATTTTAATCTCTATATTGAATCAATTTACTAATATTAACTTAGCTCTTTTGCACTTAATTTTAATGAATACTAATATCGCTTGTATGAAGCCCTGGTTGAGTTTCAAGTACCACCAAAACTAATTAGACTTGTAGAAGCAAGCATGTCAAACACCGTATGCAGAGTCAAACTTTTGGGATCTTTATCTGAAGAAATTAAAGTAAATAATGGAGTCAGACAGGGAGACTCCTTATCTTGTCTTCTTTTTAATGTTGCTCTAGAGAAAGTTATAAGAGATGCTAAAATCAATATCAGGGGCAACATATTTTCAAAATCTATTCAATTATCGGCGTATGCGGATGATTTAGACATCATTGCAAGAACTGTTCCTGCATTAAAAGAAGCTTTCCTTTCTTTGGAGCTTGCTGCTAGGGATATGGGACTAATTATCAATACCGATAAGACCAAATACATGCCTGTACTTGCTAAATTAAATTTTACTGAATCCTATCTGGAGATTGGTTCCCACAGGTTTCAGACTGTTCAGAATTTTACTTACCTTGGTTCAATAGTTACTGCCGACAATAACATAGACAATGAGATTCGGAGTCGTCTAATTTGTTCAAATAAAGCTTTTTATGGTTTAAAACATTTTTTCAAATCCTCTCTTTTATCAAAAAATACAAAACTTTTACTCTATAAAACATTAATTAGGCCAATACTTACCTATGGATCTGAGACCTGGAACCTAACTCAAGCTGGTGAAAATAAAATTGCCATTTTTGAGAGAAAAGTTTTGAGGGCCATCCTTGGTGGGATAAAAGTAAATAATTCCTGGAGAAGACGATATAATACTGAACTGTATAAAATCTACAAGGAGCCAGATATTGTGAAATTCATTAAAATACATCGAATGAACTGGGCAGCTCACATTTTCAGAAGGAATGATGACTCAAATTTTAAAAAAATCCTGTTACACAAACCCCTAACGAACAGGAAAAGAGGTAGACCCAGGCTGAGATGGTTGGATTTAGTTGAGACTGATTTCCTTACTCTAAAGAAGAAAAACTGGCGAACAAGTGTCAAAAGTAGAGAGAAGTGTATTCGAATTCAAAAGAAGGCACTGGCCCACCCTGGGCTGTCTAGCCAGATATGAGGATGAATATTCAGTCATTATGGGATAATAAACCTAATAAGTTCTTGGTAGCAATTAATAATTCTTGATGAGTACCATAACATGAATTATATAATTGAGAAGTTAGATTATTTTTTCTCAGGTGAGTCGCCATATTAAGACTTTGGACCATTAAATGAATACCTAAGTGGTCTTATCAGACCACTAAATTTTCGTTGATAATGAGAGCCCTCTCAGGTTGTAATCCCTTTATTGTACATAAATAGCAAAAGAAGAGGCAAATCGTTAATTCCTTTACTGTGGTTAATGTTTTTTTTTTTTTTCGATTAGAGATAAAGCCATATTTCATATTTTTGTAAAAATAAATTTGGTTGAAAGTAGTAAAAATAAAGTAATCAAAAAGAATTAATATGAAATCAATGATAAAGGGTTAGAACGCTATAAAGCAATTGAGTTATATTAATATTCTGGTAATCATACTTCGTGATATAGCAAATTAATTACAGAATAAAAGAAAACAGATTTGCTGTATAAACTTAATCTATGTAAAATTTATTCATCTTACCTATTTTTAATTTTAGTTATTTTATCATTTTCAGAAATTAATTCATCTTTTAGCGTTTGGAATAGAATAAGCACAGTTTCTTCCAAGTATTCTCTTGATTCAAACTGGGATGAATATTCTAGAAAGGAAGATGTTGGTGTACAAACTGATGTTAGTAATTTTTTTTTTAATTGCTATTTCTTTAGCGCTACTAGTTTTTCACCTTTTTTTTATTTTAAAGATTAAAATAAAAAATTTTAATTTTTGTTAGCTTCTTCAAAATGATAAGCCATCTTCTGGGTTGAATGGTCAAAAGGAGAACATGAAGCTATAGTAAGTATTATTATTTTTTATTTATGCTATAGTTGCCAACTTTGCCAGAAAATTGGGAGATTCCCAAATTTTAGGAATTTCTCGTAGAATTCCTAAACATTCAAATCTTCGAACAATTTTCAAAATGTCAAGCATTTTTTACTTTTTTAGTTAAAATTTTTTTAAATGTTACTCTAAATTACTTCTTTAAATTTGTAAATATTTTCACTTATTTAACTTCAAACATAGATACATTTTAATTCAATTGAAAAATATTTGTAAATATTTTTATGTAATGAGTAAACGTTCATTGAATGAACCTCTAGTCTTTTTAATTCATGATCTAACTTTTATGGCTTTTGCTCCAAAAGCTTACAATTAACAAATTTAAATACTTAATCAGAGTAAGTAAAATTTAAGTTGAGAAAATATGTATGCATCTGTTGCATACATAAAATTTACTATTAGAATTCGATATTATTAGTTTATAAAATTCAGTATGCTGCAATTTGTTATTTTTCTGGTTTAATTTGCAACTAAAAAGAAAAGTTTTTATGTAATGCAAAACTTTCCATTTGTGTTGCATTTTCAAAATTTCTCTTTTCTGCTGTAAATTGTGCCGTTTTGTATGCAAAATCACCTTGCAACTGATTCTCCAACGTTGGCAGCTATGTTATGCCTATTTTAAATAGACGTGCCATTTGTCCCTGAATAATTTTTGTTTTTAATCTTAAATCTTCTTTCAATTTTAATAATTTAAAAGATTGACCACAAGTATGCTAATTATTATTTAGATATGTTGATAGTATTTTAAAAGTTAAATATGCAAATCTATCCAAGAAGAAAAAAAGGTATATTTCTAGCAAGTAACCATAGAGTAACAGATAACATAACCTCCATGTAACAAGTAAGAAAGTACGTTTTTGTCTTTGACTCCGTTGCTTAATAGTTAACGCTAATTAAATTGCATAGTTAAAGTTAATGCTTTAGACAATTAACCCTCTGACTGATTATCCCGCGATTTCCACAAGCAACTGAATTGTAGCAAAATCTGCTCATTCCGCGATTTCCGCGGGCATGTGATTTTCTTCCTTTATTGATGAGCGCATCCCGTTTACTCCCCGTTTCAGCGGTATTAGACGTTTAATTTACGTTTTGACCAACAGATGTCGTTACAGATGTCGTTAGTTGTCCTCTAAATTGCCGTATTTGAAAGCGCGTAGTGTAAAGTGATTTCGTAAGGGCGGAAAGCGCGTAGTGTAAAGCAAATTTTTAAAGCGGCTTCGGTCCAAAAATGGAGCAGTCAGAGGGTTAAGATTGCTTTTTAGTATGTGGAAATATGATGATTTAGACAAAAGTTATTCAGAGTGACATACTTTTTTATGTGTGTGTGTTGACTGACTTTTTGCCAAATTTTTGTTATCTTGAGTTAGTTTGGTAGTTCTTTTATCCTTTTTTTACTTCCCCCGTAATCAAAGTGTGAGCTTAGAATTTTGAATGAGCACTATTTTCACTACTTTTGTCAAAAATACTCCTGCTTGAAATTTCAAAATCCTAAAATATTTAAAGTTATCAGACATTTGAGTAATTCAAAAATTGAATAAAGAAAAATTTTAACAAGAGAACTGCAAGAGAATAAAATTTTAATTATTTTTGTATATTTTAGAAATTTTTCTATAAATGGGAAAGATTCTAAAAAAAAAATTGCTTAAAAAATGGATTTTTTTCTCAATTTATTGCTTATTTTAGTCTGTAAATGATTATTGCTGCTAAGTAATTAAGTATATTATGTTATCCCTTTATACTTTTTCTTTTATATTGAGTTTTGATATTTTTATTTATTTTATTTAGACTTTCTATTTCAAATTTATTAAATAATTTCTTATTACTATCTCAAATGAATTTGTTACCTTTTGCTATTCAAAATTATTACAAACTATGTTTAGTTTTTGTATTTATTGACTATAAAATTTCCTGTATCTAAAATAAAGTATCTGATTGGCTTTAACGCAAGTTTTTTCGAAGATCGGGTAAGTTTCAGTATAAAAAAATTAAACAATTGCGTCAGGCTAACAGCATTACAACAAATGGCAATGCATAAATATTTAAAAAAAAATTCTAGGTCCATAATATGGTTACCTGTATTTCAAAATAAAATCTACTAAATATGTTGTTGAATATTGATTTTTTAAAGAAAAATTCTAAACATTCCTTCATAAAATAATAAATTCATATTTAGCTTTTAGTTTAAAATGTTGCTAACATTGTGCAAAATCTATATCTATTATTTCAAAGAATTCTGTAATAAAATTTTTGTTATGTGTATTAGCATAAAGATTTGTTTAATATTCTTTGTAAATTATTTTTTTAAAAAAATTATTTAAATCATGTAATGGCTAAAAAATATAAAAGCAATTTATTTTATATGAATAAAATAATTAAAAATCACAACCTTCATTCTTAATTTAAAGGGATTTAGAAACCTAATCACTGAAGTTCAAATTTCAGAAACTTGAAATTTGAACTGATTGTTGAAATTGCAAACTTTCACCCAATCAGATTTCTCAAAATATTACACATTAATTCACACAAAATTAATATTTTAAGATTATTGTTTTTTTTTTCATTGTTGACAGCTATGTAAATAAAAATAATTTATTTCAAACTATTTTGTTATCTTTGCTGACAGTTTAAAATTAGATTTTATTCACATTTTCCTTTTATACACAATGATTTATAGTGAAGACAAAATTGCCGAATTAATGAAAGAGCTTACTGATCTGAAGCACTTTACTACATTGGAGAAGCAAATGTATATAGAGAAGCATTCTGAAACTAAAGTAAGTTTATATTTTTAGAGATTAACTTTTATTACTGTGTTTGTGAAGCAGTGTTGATCACTGTTTTGGCTAAAAAATTAAAAAAAAATTATAATTAATTAATTGCTGTCTGATTTCAAGTGATCAAAAAAACATCCAAAAAAAATTTTATGTTCAATGTACAAATTTTTTGAAAAAGAAGGAAAAAATACAATACATTTAGATTTATGTTTTAAAAGTTGTAGATGTTTGGATTTTTTATTGCCAGAATATATGAAGAGTTGTTATCTGAGTTATGACATCAATAGTTGAAATACTTAAAGGATAAGAAGAAGCCCATACCTTATAAGACTAATAGTAACCGACCTACCCCTGAAGGAGTTTGCGGATAAGGGTTTCACCCGCTGTCATGTGAACTAAACACAACAAAACTACAGAAAAGTGAAATCAAAACTAAAAAGATTGATACACGTATGAAAAATCCCAAAATCGAAAAGATGATAAAAATAAACCAGAATAAAATTAACCAACAGTAAAAGTGTCGAAAATACAGGTAAAAACATATAAAAGTAAGGTCAGGTAAAACACCAAATGGTAAAAATATGATAAATCACATTAAATACGAATAAGACTAAAATAAGAATAGAATAATTAAAATAGTCGAATGAAAGTTCAAGCGTCCCCCATTCAGGGCTAAGTGCCTCTAAGATTAAAAATGTTCTAAGGTAAACCAAAGTTTCTCTAAAAAAGATAAACACTCAAAGATGACACCAGGTAAGACAGAGGGTGCTGAAGTTCACCAAGATCAAAATTTCATTTTGAATGTCCTTTGTATAATGAAGATGTCAGTTCAAGGAGAGAACAAAGTCAAGGAAACAGTAAGTGTCGAATTAAAGTACTGAAAGCAAATATTAAAACCAGTAAACCAAAAGTTCAAAAAATAAAACCAGATAAAATTAGTCAGGTGTACTCTCAGGGGCAAGCAGATCATCCAGGGTATATTTAAGAATTTCAATGATTTTCCCCCTGCAGTCAATATCAGCATAAAGTTGATGCTGAGTATATTGGTCCCATTTTCTGCCACGAATCGTCGGGAATTTTATGAGGTGTGCTTATGAAGATTCTATGAGCCCATACCTTAAAAAAATTATAGTTATCTGTGAATACTTATATTAATTTTATGCTGGGAATAGTATTTTCAACATGAGCTTTTGTTTCACTCAAGTAATGCTTAGCAGTAAATTTTATTTGTAGTGTGTATTACAGTTGAAGCTCGATATAACAACTCCAGTACTCCAAAAAAAAAAAAACATTATAATGTGAGGCTTCTGTATATTATAACTGCCAACATTTAAACATTTTATTTCCACATTTAAAGTGGTTGTAAAATTTCTATATGTATTTTAAATGGTTTTGTACACCACTAAGTGTAAATGGATTAATATTTACATAAGTGCATGATATTTATATGTTGTTATTTTTTGAACTACTAACAAATAAAATTATTTCTGCTTATAATTGTACAACCATTGTGGAAAATTATCCTAGGAAAGATTAAAAGTTGACAGGTATGGTATGTAAAAAAACTTTGCAAATATTTGCTCATAGTCCTTAGACTTATTCTGAGAAAAACATTTCATTTCTGTTCCAAGCATATGTTATGCTGATTAACAAATAGCCATTTTTGCAAAATAATTTACATCTGAAGAATTGCCAAGACTAAGCAAAGATAAAATTAAGAATAGTATGAATATTGTGTGTTTTATCTTCAAAATAAACCAATTATAATACTTCAGAAAAACAATTTTCAAAAAGGAAAACATAATTGAAGTATTTATTGATAATTAACGAAGGGTAATTTAAAGAAGTCTACAAGAAACCTTTATTTCCCCTCAAGGATACAATATACACTTTTTATTCTCCACAGTAAAATAATCATTATTTCACCACCTTTTTGACTATGGATTATGCCTCTGATAAGAAAAAACGCTTCTGTCATTCTTTCTTCATTCAACATATATCATATTCATCAACATATATTATATTTAAACCACAATTGTGGCTTAAATCATTTCCTAGAAGAATTTTTCTAATCCGTTGAATGTTTGTTAGCATGGATTTCTTTGAAATGAAATTTTGGTTGCTATATTAGAATGAATGGTTCTGTTTAGGTATTTAAATAACGTTTGCAGTGGAAGATTCGCAGAAATGGAGGGTCTCAGTAAAGAGCATACACAGTAATATTTATATTCATGAAAATCAGTTACAAATAACGACCAATCCATGCATTCTCAATAAATAGATAAATCGCTTAGTATAATTCAGTTTTCTCACAAGAAAATTCAAATTTCTTTGATTGTTACAGACAAATGGACAATAAGGCAAAACAGGAAATATGCCTGAACAGCTTTATGCAATTGTATTGAAAAAATTATTTTGATCTGTTTTTAGAGAAAAATATGAAGTGAAATTTTCTTTAATGGAATAATAAAAAAATTTGCAATATTTTAGCATTGTGACTACAGACCATTTTCAGGGACCAGCTGAAAGTGACAAAGGAAGTGGGTTAAAGTGCAAAATGTAAAATTGAACCTCAACTGTATTTAGTTTTCTCAATTTATTTTGGAAAAAGACATTCATGCTGTCCAAACTATAACATTAAGTATTTGTAATTCAATACAAAATTGTGTTGTTTTTTTTAAATTGGTAGTCACATTAGAAATTACCAACTTAACTTCATGGCAAATTCCTTACATTTTTATGTAAACCCAAAAGGTGCTTTATATGTCAGTAGAACGTGTTGCTCAAGCACAATGTCATGTGAAAAATAGGCAAAGAGCTTGAGAAGGCTAAATTTGCAAATTTAGTTGTCTAACATACAAGGATGAAAATCTGCGAATCTACGATTTTTCGTTTTTTGTATATTTCTTTGACTATTTAAAGATAAACCCGCAATACTTATAAAACTAACGCAGAGAATAGTTAAAAAAGAGTTCTGGAAGAATTTAATTAAAAACTGTCTCCATTACAAAAAAGATGTAATTAAATTTACTAAAACAAAACAAGGTATTCTCTACCAAATTATTTGAATCTGTTTAAGTGGGAAATAATTCACTTTCATGAAATATACCCTAGCAACAATTTTATCTTGTTGAGTTCAGTATGGGTCATATAAGAACATGCACTGAAGGACCAAGTTTTTTTTTATTATTGACCATTAAATGTCCTATATAGAGTCAATATCTTAAAATAACAGCCCTTTGAATCTTTATTGACCCAAGATTTGTAAATATTGGTCCAATTAGATGCCAATTTAGTTTGTTGCTAAGGTGGTTACTTATGTAGCACTCTTTTTGCCTTTCTCTTTTATAAGGTTTATCATTTGTTTTATTATTCGTTTCTCTATTTTTGTGATGAATAAATTATTTATGGTTGCTTAACTCTTTCTTAATGTATATCTCTACTTGTGAAAAAAATCTAGCTGCTCTATTAAAAACATAATTTTTTTTAAAAATTTATTAGAGACCGAAACCTAAAGATGAAAAAATTCATTCTTCCCTGAAATTATTTTCGAAATAATAAGTATTTTTTCATTGATTTATATGTTAATAATTCCAATAATTGGTTCATGTATATTACCATAGCTTATAATACTTTAATTTATTAGGTCTGGATTTTGCAAAAAGAGTTTGATTGTTTAGTGTTTTATAGCTGAAAAAATAAGGAACTGCTGTTGTAGATTATTGGAATTAAGATATTTTCTGAATTTGAAAATAATATTGCTAAAATATATTTACAAAATTATAAGAGACTTGCACTTGTTATGTGCCGTTTTTATTTAAACGTTTTATGATAAATTATTTTTAATATGCTTTTACTTTGCAGGTTATGGATAAATCCATAAATTGTATGACGTTTTCTCCTTTCCTTGAAAAGTCAAGAAAATTGGATGTTGATTTATCTGTGTGTGATGAAAGCTTTGGGGTCATAAACAGTTTAATAAACCGAAAAAGCCAAGCTGATAGAAATATAATAGATATAAGTCAAGAAATGTTTTTTCAGAGCTTAAACATTGTTATAAAAAAGCTAAGCAACATTTTGAACATTGAAACTTTGTTGCCATCAATTGCAAATCCTTACTTCAAAGTTATCTATCAGCTAGCTAATATAATATTTCAAAAGCATTTTATAGGTTATAAAGACTCAACCGATGAACAAATCAAAGATATGTTCAAGCTTTTAACTAAGATATTTGTCGGATTTAGTGATCAGGAAAATTCCGATGAGCATAATTCAGAACTCTTAATCCATTTTGATGAAATGTCGGAAAAATTATTTAAGGACATTGAGAAGCTGTCAATAAGTTCTGAAACTGATGCTTATGTTGAAACTAAAATTTCAAATATCTCTAATGGGAACGACTTAAGCTCTGAGTCACCGAATACTTATATAATGCCCTCTAGTTGTCAGTGTAAGGATCAAATACCATTGCTAGAAAAATCTATAAATACCCATCTTGAAACTATAAGTCATCTTCAGAGTAATCATGAGTTGTTGAAAAAACAGTTTAATTTGTCTGAAGATAAAATAAAGATACAAGAACAAGTCATAACTAGTTTAGAAAATGAAATAAAATTGAAGCTTAAATGTGGTGCAGAAATGGCAGATAATTTTACCCAAACTTCTTACATGACACAAATGAATGTGTCTTCTATGGAACCAATAGACAGAAAAAATCTTCCAAAACCTTCTGGTGATGACTCAAAAATTAGTGAAATGAACTGTTCAAATTGTCTAAAACCTCAGAATTATTCAGATAATCAAAATCATGAACTGTCTGAGGTCAAAAGTCAATTGTTTGATCTCGGAGAACAAATTCGAAAAATGATGGAAAGCAGTATGCCAAAAGCATACTATAGTGATATAGCTGAAGATGAACCAGTGAAAAATCTCGAAGCAAATTCAGTAGATTCTCTCAAGACAGAAATTGCAGCACTGAAAATAAGGCTTCACAAGATTAAGTTTTACATTCAAGACAAGACAGAGCAATCAGAACATATAGAAAACAAAATATTAGGCAAGATGGCAGAAATTAGCTCTCTGCAGAGGCAATGCTCATCAACTGAATTGGCATTGCAGGAGAAAGAAAAGCTGTTAAATATGCTCAATGGAGATATTTGCGAATTCAGAAAAGAAGTATCAGAAAAAGTGCTTTCAATTCGAGCCATGGGTGTAAAACTGAAGCATCTTGAGCTGGATGGTGTTAGATTAGTTGATGATCTCACTTACTTGAAAAGAATAACTAAAAGTTTTGCTGATACTGTTGTTGACAGTCATGCGGTTTTGAAGGATCTTCACCAACATCAAGCCTTGAGACAGACCAAAATGACGCAGACTGTTGACAACTATCCTGATCTGGCTGCTCTTGAAGAAATTAGGGCACATGAATTTAAAGAGAGGGCACATTTGTGTCAAGAAAACACTTCTTTAAAACTAAAATTAGAAGAATTAAATAGGAAGGTTGAAAGTTTGGAGCTAGGTCTGAAATTAAAAGAAAATAATTTATCGCAGATTCAAAAGTCTTATCAGGAGGAAAAAGAAATGAACCTTTCTCGTCGTAAAGAACTGCAAGAAAGTTTGATGGAGACTATGCAAGAACACATTAAAAACCTTGAAGATAAATATGAAGAGGAAATCAAAAATCAAGAAAAAACTCTCTTTGGTATGATGGATAATAAGCTATCATCCCTCAAGGAAGAGTATAAGACCGAATGGGAGAAAAAACAAGAACATTATGAGAAATTGATCTCAGAGCTTACTGCAAAGTGTGAGAAAATAAAATCTGACTTGCAGGGCAAGTTGTCCGAGGAAATAAATGAGCACGAAGACGCTAAGCTTAAACTCAGAAATGAAATCAAAGACTTTGAAAACCGTGCATTAATCGCTAGTCAAGCTTATTATAAATTGAAGAACAAATTTAAAGAATATGTAAAATCTGTTCAAGACATGAGAATGATGAATGCCAAGCATGTTAAGGAGAAAGAGACACAGACTAATTCTGAAAATACCACTGCAGAAGCTTGCCATGAATGCAAAAATTTAAGACAAGAGCAAAAAGATTTGAAAAATTTATGTAAAATAAAAGGCTCTGAACTGGTCTCCTTAGAAAATAATAATCAAAATATGAGGAGAGAGATTGCAGCTCTTAAGAGAGACCTAGATTCAAAATATGCACTACTTCGTACCTGCAACTGTAGACTTATTCCTCGTCCAAAAGATATGCTTCACGGAGGTATTCATAAGACTAAAGTAAGTTAAATCTTTGTTGATATTAAGTTCCAAATTTTACTTAAGTCACAAATCGTTTGTAACATCTTGATTTTTTTCATTCAGTTAAATCAGGGGTGGACAACCTATTATGAGTGCCACCGTTGAAAGAAAGAAATTATGTGTGCTACTTTCAATTTTTCAAAAGTATTAAAAATTATTTTTGAAAAAGAGAAAATTATATATTTAAAGACTGATTATGGAAGTTTTAGGCAAATAACTTTTTTTCGTGTTGAACTGAATAGTGTAAATTTAAAAACTAATGTCTTTAATGAAACAGATGTACTACCTTAGGTTTTATTATTAGTTAACATTTTAAAATTTTTATTTAAAGATGTTCATTATGAGCAAAATTAAAATGCAGATGAATATGAACTTAGAATATTTAATTCAAAATAATTATTAAACAGTCTGTACCAATTCTTACTTAAGGGGATTTTGGATTTGCAGTTTCTTAAACAAAGAATAGAATAGACAACCATAGGAAAAATAGTGACTAAGCAGGAAAGACAATTCAAACCATTAGTTGTCTTTCTCATTGCATAGTAATGCTGCTTTCTGGCACTTGTGTATTCAGTAGCCTATGACTAGATGGATCATTTGTTAGAATCCCTTTGCCGCCTGACTAACTGTGGGGAATATTTTGTGGTTTTTCTCTCCATGTGATGTAATCATGGCTAGTTCCATCAAAACGTCTTCCATGAAGGCTATTTTCAATGCTTGATCCAGGAGTTTCATTATCTTCTGGGTTGGGTTTCAATTGATTAGGCTATAGAGGTTTTAGCCCATAGATGGATTGACTGCAGGGCCAGTTATAAATTAAAATTTGAATACCTAAAGTTTGTACACAATAAAATCTATTACCTCTGTTATAAAAATTTACTTTTAAATGGAATTTATGTTATCAGTATCTACATCCGTATAGTTTTTCTGCTCTTGTAGATTAACAAGAAGAAAAAAAACTATTTTTTATCATTTTTTTATGATAAAATAATTTCATTATTATTACAGTAGGTAACCGATTATCCGGAACGATCGGGACCATCGCTATTCCGGATAACTGATTTTTCCGGTTTTCTGAATCGCTACAAAAAGCCGTTTTTTTTATTGTTAAACCCAACTAAAAAAAATTTTTTTTTGGGAAATAATCTTAAAAATGAGAAAAAACGATGAAGTAATACACTAATGATTATTTCCAAAATGATGGTAAGGTAAACATCTTTCAAAAAAGAAAGAAAAATCTTATGAGGGAAAAAAAAAATTTTTTTTTAAATGGCGGGAAAATTTATTAAATTTCGTTCCGGTTTTTTGGTTTTCCGGTTTTCAGATTTCCGGATAACGGGTTCTGTACTGTATTTTATTCTCTTTTTTTAAAAAAAACAAAAACAGTGGATTTTATTGTTTACTGAAGGAAAAACATGTCTTTTAGGTTTCTGATTCTGCAGAAGGTGACCTGGATCAAGATCGAATTGGGTATGTCATAAACAATTTCTTTTTGGGTTGGTTTTGTGAGCCTTATTTAAGTTTAACGCGATCCTAATTCTTAATACGGTTCGTTTAATTTTAAAATATGTATCTAAGCATAAAACTCGGTTATGAGCAAACCCTGAATTTGGCAAAAAATTTTTTTTTAATTTTCTTCCTTTCAAAAGGGTTTACCCTGTTCTAAGGTGTAAATGTCGACTTTTTGAATTTCTAAAGTGCAATAAAAGTTAGGAGATTAACTTAAATATGAGAGTAACTCATTTGAACACAGAGATTTTATAGTTAAGCTTTTGGTATGTATTTAAGTACTGTGAATTCAGGAGTCGACCTGTACTCTTTGAAAATGCAGTACCCAGTTATAATATATTTAGAATATTTATACAAATAGTTTAAAATATTGTGAGTAAATAAGAAGGGATTTGATTAGTATTCGGCCCTTTTGCCAATACGAATTCCACTTTAAAAGCAAACAAAAAATTAAGATTTTAGCATTAAATCTTTTGTTTAAAAATTAAGAACGATTTTGTTTTGATTTCTTCTTTTCCTTTTGTTTAATTGTTTATGTTGCTTTCCTTATGTTACTTTAACTTAAGTAGGTTTCCATTAGACTTTAGTCTTCGCTTTTTCTTGCAGATGCATTAATTGGAAGACTGAATTGCTTATCTTTAAAATTTTATTTCAAAAATTAAGATCTATTTTGATTTTTTCTGTTTTGCTTTTTTAAGTAATGTTTGTTTTTTATAGGGGTTTTCATGGTAGCGTTGAATTTCTAAAAGCATTTCTGTTAGACATTTTCTTTTTTAATGTTTTACAGACAGCTTTTCTTCCAAAAAATAGTATTTTAGCAAAGTTTTGTTTTAAGAACTGAGAGAATTTTTTTTTCTCAACTTTATAGATTTAGTTTTTTTTTTTTTATCTTAAATATTTCTACTTAATTTGATGTAATCTTTATTATCTTAAACATTTGTCGTAAAGTTTTTCTCCCTTTACCCCAAATCAATAATAGAGCTAAGTTTTGATTATTTTTAAAAAATGACTAAACTTTTTACAATATAAGAAATATTTATCAATGATTTCTTGTTAAGTAAAGAAAGTTGTTATTGTATATACAAATATTGCTAAAAGGCGGAATGTTCTGTATACTGCCGATTTTTTATTTTGACCGAATATTTGGCCAAAGTACTATTCGTTGCATCCCTATAAATAAACAACATTGATGTCCTTCATTCATCCCACATATAATTATATATATTTATTATGTATATTATATATTAATCATCTATACATTAATCATGAAAAATTTCCTGACTTTATGATGGAGAATAGAAAATTTTCTACACTTCTGTTTGCCCATTCTCTTACAATGGGAAGAATTTAAATTCATGTTGGTGAACCATTTCTAAGGAAAACTTCAATTTACCTTAATTTACCTTCAATTTGGTATTTGATTTGTTATGAATAATCTGAATTAAATTGCTATATAATAAATTGTCAAAACTAGCACATTGTTGGGGGAAGAGTTATCGACAATGCCAACCTTCATCTATCAAAAGGTACCTCGTGATTGGATCAAGTTAGCATGTCCTATACACCAGTGAATTGATGTTTAATAATCGTAGTGGTAGTTATGCCACAATACTCCCCCACCAGAATTTTATCGGGATAGAATTCGATGAACGGATACCACTAGTTGCTGTATTTGTGAAAGACCGAGAGAGCTGGATTAAGGTCACCGGATTTTTGAGTGCTGAATCTGAGAGGTGTATTAACTTCACGGTCGTAGTCGCTCCTGTATTGCCTTTAGCAGTCGAGTGTATGCAGGCTGACATTGTGTATGATTAAGATGAGACTGAGCAGCAACAGCGTGAGGAGGTGGATAATGTCACAGTAAGTAGCAAATTAGCTGTTGAATGTGGACCGTCCAACGAAGTGGGTGTTATTGTCAAGATAGGCACGTGTTCGCATCACGTCCGTAAGTCACCAATGTGGGGGCAAGGAGTTATCGACAGTGCCAACCTTCATCTATCAAAAGGTACCTCGTGATTGGATCAAGTTAGCATGTCTTATATACCAGTGAATTGATGTTTAATAATTGTTGTGGTAGTTACGCCGCAACATTATTAATTTAAAACTAGCACATAAAATATGCTATCAAAATTAGCAGTCTTCATAGAATTAGCATATGCTGTTCAATATATTTTCTTTATATTAAATTTTTCAACATTTAAAATTTTCATAAAATTATCTACATTTTAAATATTACCCTTTCACTTTAGACTATTTAATACTTTATTTTTTATTGATTTAATTACTTAAAATTACACTTCATGATAATTATGCTGTTTAATTTTGTGGCAAATATAAGTAAACTAAAGCATGAGAAATTTGAGAAGAATTACTTCTGATATTTATTTATTTTTAAAAATTATAAAATATTACATTTCTTTAAAATTGATAAATTCTTTAAAATGTCTCACATTATGTACACAAAATATCTGATCAAATTAAAAATGCATAGGAAAACAACAATCCTCTGCATATCTTTTTCACACTAAAATGCTTTGCAATCAATGTTTTAATTTATACTATGTAGTTTAACTTCTTTTAATGAAAGAGCTTTTGGAAGACAGCATTTTTCTGTACATCGAAAAAAAAAATACTGAGTTAATTAATGTATCCTTTAAAGCTACTTTGAGGGGTATAAAATCTGGGTTTAATCGTCTAAATTCTGCTCTGAAATTACTAAAATTTTTAAGGCATAATTTTCTTCTTTATAATTTTTGAAAGTTTCATAAAAAGTACATGGCTCTAGTAGAAATTTGTAACATTTTTGTAATATTCTAGCGCAAATTTAAATCTTGTTTGCTTTAACATTTTCTCTATTTAATTAGGAAGAAGACTGATCTAGATCCTAGAGAAATATTGAAGCTTGACTTTGTTCAAAGTATGCTTTTTAAAGTTCACTGTTAATAATATTTTGTATAAGCTTGTTCTTTAAAGACTCTGTTGCCACGTGAGCCGAGCCCTTTTAACAAATATATGCTATTTTTATAGTTGTTGTGAGAACATACTGGTGCTGGTTAAAGATGAATGAAACTTAACTTAGTTTAGACTGGTGGGTTAAGTTTCATTTATCAGAATGAAACTTAACCCAACAGTCTGAAGAATTTCCGGGTTTCTAAACTTTTGATTTTACTTTATCAATTTTATTCTCTTTATGATATAAAGCTTAACAATTTGCTGCACTGTCAGTGCGCACATATAATAAAAAACCCCCCCAAAAAAATTTATGAAAATAATTTAAATGTTTTCCTTTTATGTAGAATAATTTAACAGGCTTTTTCATTTATTTTTTCATGATTTGAGTTTATAAGTATTTCTAGAATTTTTGTTCTTTACCAACTTTCATGCCTGGGTAAATACCCCAAGGTATACCCAGGATTTAATACCAGGGTGCGTACAGACTCCTTATACTCCTTAGAAACTCCTTGGAAATAAAGAAGTCTCCAAGGAGTACTTGGAACTACTTAGATTTCCAAATTAGTCCTTAGAAACTCCTTAGATTATTGCGTTGCATAGATGAACTTACGAAGTCTGCTGATGAATTTGCTGTCCAAGCTGGGAAACTAAATGATATGCAGTGGTGCAAGTGCTGCGCTGATCCGCTNAAATGCCTTAGATTTTCTTATGTATTCAAATTTAAAAATATAAGATTGGTAGGTTTTTATGTCAATCCTTAACATCTGTACTTTAACAAGATTTATTAAAATATTTGAAATTGGAAAATGTATTTATGTGTTAAAGTGATAACTTAATTTATTTTTCTTGACGAAGTTTGACAAAGTCAAAATTTTTTTCAAAAGGGATGGAAATTAAATTCAAAATATACATTTTTTTAAGTTCCTTATAATAACTGCTTTTTAATTTTTAAAAAAAACTATCTTTTACACAAAGTTTTTAAATTTTTGATAAGTCCTTAAAATTTTGGACTCCTTGGATACTCCTTGGATTTCTTCTTCTGATCTCTGTATGAACACTGAATACCCAAAATTTATGAATGGGCAGATATTTATGAATTTAATTGATTTTGTTTTTATGGTTTGCAAAATTATATTTTAGACACAAATTAGGTACACGAGCAATAGTTAATTTCTTATTAAGGATTTATATTATTGCAATATATTTGTAAATTGTTTTTTAAATCATTGGGTTCTTTTTTAAGTTTGTTAGAAGGGGGGCTAAATACTTAAATTGTTATTCTAAAACAAGCTACTAAACTAAGAAATATTTATCCTTTTGCCGACCTATCAGGGAGATCTTCCTGTTTGGCAATAATTAGTTATAGCTTTTAAAAAATGTGTAATGTTTAGCTTTATACTCAGATGTGGCAAAATGTTAAGAGACCCAAACTTTCTACCACTCTCCTCATTAAACTATTGAGATCATATTTCCACATTGCGATCATATCTCCAATATTAGTCGGAAATTCAATCTGTAAAAAAAAATTATGCTTATTCAGGGAAGGTACACATTTGTGTCTTATTCTCTAACTTAATAGGTAGCATAAATTAATTAGTTAACCATTCAAAGCATTGTGATTTGCTCTTAGTTTGGGAAAATCCATTAATTGAAGAAAAGGTAATTCAAGGTATATCCTAAAATTTAAAAAAAAACAAAAAAATTAGAACAAGAAGATGTAAAACATTTATTAAGTTCTCAATTCCTCTTTGTTATGTTTTTAGAAGCTATTGATGAAGCAAGAGAATCTGAACGAGCAATATTCAACAGCGGTGAAGGACCTGCTAGTCAGGAGATGTGCATCCTTTTAAGAAGAAAATTAAATAAGAAAGATAAAGAAATATCTGAATTGAGAAACATAATATCCCAAAAACAGTTAAGTTAATTTGCGTTGTTTCCCACTGTTAAAATATCTTTAGGTTCATAATGAACTTAATTTAATAACCATTTTTCTTTTAACCTTCAGTAGGGGCAACCCAAACCAATATTCAAATCCAGACGTTTTATATTATTTAATGAAAAAAACTATTGTAGACTAGCCATGACAATTTGAACTGAACTAGAGTTTAGAAGGTTCAGATATCAGAAATTTCTTGGTTTTTTATAACTTATTTTAGCCAATGAAGAAGGGTCGAAGTTAACGATCAAAAATTAGAAATAGTCTTCAATTGCCTTCATTAAGTTTTTCTTGCCTTCTTAAGTTTTCATAGCCTGAATTGCCTTTCCAACATTTACTGTTGCGAAATTCAGCATCCAGGATTGCATAAGTTTCAGACAAGATTCAGATGATAATTAGCTTCATAAGGAAACATAAGAGACTATTCTTTAAATTTAAATAAGGAAAAATGTTTTTTTTTTTTGTGTGTGTGTGTGTGTTTATTTTAGGATGCAAAATTTACGTCTTTCTCTTTCCTTTTTTAATTTCAATAAATGCCAAGTTGTTTAAACTATCCCATCTTCATTTCAAATCACATAACTGTTACCTTGCTGAATTTTGACATAGTTTGCAAAATCTCTATTCTTAAAATAGGATATTACTACAACATGCATTTTGAAATCACTCTGTCATCTGATCACTATTTGATGCAGTGATTTCATCATAAATCTATATTATTTTGCCTTTCGCTTAGTTTTTTAATGCAGCATTATTACCATATGTGAATTTCTGCAAATTAGCTATTGCTTAATATTGATTAGGCTAGTTTTTAAAGGTGTCTGGATTAAATTCAAATTTTTTTTTTTTTTTTAATTACTGATAAAGTAAACATTGACAATGTTAACACAAGGCCATGGAATTTCGTTTTTTGGGGGAGCAAAGTGCGGATTTATTGTAATTTTAAGTTTTAAAAAAAACCTCTCAAAATGCTGCAACAAACTTGAAAAATAAATAATATTGAAAGTTATTAATAACACTGTTAGATCTGACGCAGTCAAACTGGCTTATAATGAGCGAGAAGGAACCATAACCGGAACCATTCTCGTTAAAAATTATAAAATTATGTTTTACTGTACTTCGTAAAATATGGTTATTTTAATTAGTTGAACAATTTATTAAATTATTTATTTATTCCCACTTTGGAAACAGAGAAAACTTGGAATTAACAGGTAATTTAAAAATACCACTTTAAAATTATCAACTTTGGACGTTTGCAAAGTATTAGTGATTAATAAAATTATCACCCACAATTCCAATTCTAACTATTAGATATTAAAACTGATTTAGATAGCCAGTCATATCTTAACAAGCAGTACTATCGTCATTTATTTTTTTTTGTCATCAGTATAAATAATTCTAATCAACCATTTTGTTATTTCCCTACCTATTAAAAAAGTATTTTTAAAATTTAAGTTTTTTAAAACAATAAGACAATTTTAAACAGCTAACTATAGTAAAGAATTTAACAAATAAAGATAACAATTTTTATTTATTGGATATTTAGTATGTACACAAATATTTTGTTTTCTTATTTAATTTTCTAAAAAAAAAAAATTCTAATTTTAAACTTCAACTCCAACTGATATAAATCATTAAAATCTGAGAAATTTTAAAATTGACTCTTGTTTTGCACTGGGAGTATCCATCCTGTTATTATATTTAAAATTGCACCTTTTTTTATCCATTTATTTTTTTCTGTATTCTGAGACACTCAGGCATATTTTAATGCAAACTCTTATCTTATTTAGACTTGGTCAAAATCCACCAGCAAAGTCAAATCGTGAAAATATACCAATGCATCCTTTAGATGTTGAGGTTTTGAATAATTTTACTCCTAAAACTGCAAGCAAACCTGTTGATGATGCCCTATTAAAAGCTCAGCCCAAGAAAATTCGTAAGTACCTCCTTTTCAAAGTCCAGGCTACAGATAAATTTGTTCATTTGCATAACTGCCAATCATTCTACGTCTTGCAGAAGCTTCTGTATTTATGTCCCATTTTCTGTAATGAGCCTGAAATCTTCCGCTTTTTGAAAAAAGAACATATTTTGTACTGTCTTGGATCTTGTGTGAAGATGGCTCACCTCCCTTGGTCTTATAATGATATCTTGAAATTTTAGTATGCTTCCGCCTGATCGATATTGCATGCCATTCAATATTGCAAAATATACAATGATAAGCATTGAATACTATAAAAAAAATACTTTTCCTCTATTTTGGATTTATTTTAACTGATTGTGCTCTAACACTGTATTCTACATAAAAAACGCTATATTTCACTAATTAAATTATTGCTTTGAATAAGGAATAAAAATTGAAAATACATAAAATCTTCTATAGTTTATGTAAATTCTTCTACAATTTTGTAGTGAATCTTTCATATTTCAAAAATTATGAATTGGCAGTTATGCATTTTTCATCCTTACTAAAAAAAATTTATTCTAAATATTTTATATATTTTAGTTCTTGAAAAGAATAAACCTGAAAAAGTGGAAGCTCCTAGAAATAAATGGTTCATGACGAAAGAAGGTACTCTATTGCATTTCTTCCTAACATTTTTATAATTCTGTTTTCTCTCTCTTTCTTTACTCTTCCCCCCCCCCNTTTTTTTTTTTTTTTTTTTTTTTTTTTTTTTTTTTTTTTTTTTTTTTTTTTTTTTTTTTTTTTTTTTGTCATTTCCCATTTTTAAAAAAATCAATATGAAGTCAGCATTTGCACAAGGATTGAACCAGGGTTGCAGGAATACAAATTGGCTTTAGGAGAGTGAAATGAACCTGTTTTTAACTCAATTGATAGTTAATTATCCTGTGGTGCATTATGAAAATTTCAGAGAGTTTCTATAATATTCTTGAATTATATTTTCTAATAAAATTATTGTAAATTATCTCTTTCTGCTTTAATTTTGAAACTTGGACTTAATAAAAATATTTTAAAGGACTAGGTAATATAGAAAATTATGTTAGTACAATACAGTCTTTCCCTGATCAGAAGCCCTGAATCAAACACATAAGAGTAGCATGCTGATTTGGTTTTTTGCTACAATAACAGAAAGTGGGATGAAAACTATTAGAAAAATACATTGTTATCCTATGCTATTTAAATAAATGTAGTGTGAAGGAAATCATAAAATTTTTCAAGATTTTTCTTGATTTTATGTTTTGAGAAAGAATAAGAAAAGTTGATAAGTTTAATGAAAACAAAGATAAAACAGAAGGGCTGGTGAAAGGGGTTGACTGCCAATAGTTCTGAAGATAATTTAGTTATCCAAAGAAAAAAAAATTAAAAACGATTTTTATTTATAAGTCGAAAAAATTGGATTGTAGGATATGCAAATTTTAGTATCATTTTAAAGAATGTAATTTTGTTTGACAAAAAAAAATATATATATGAACAAAGTTGGTCTAATAGTTGTTGATAAATCAAATCTTAAAGATATTAAATTTTTTTTTTAATTGGTTGGATTGATTTCATTCAAAAAATTTTGTTTGTCATTTAAATTTAGAATGCATACTTTAAAATAATCCATACTATACAATTCATAATTATTTAGTTATTTTTATATTAAATAATAATGTCTGTACATGTATAATCTGATGAAAATTTTTATTTTAGAGGAAGAAATGGCAAAAAAATTGGATGAGGATCAGCGTAAATACAGAGAAAGAGATCTCGATAATTGTAAACAGCAATGATCGGTGCTGTTAATTTTTAGTTCTTTCAAGTTCATTTAAAAACATTTATATTGATTTTTTTTTTAAAATTAATTATATTTTTATAAATTGTATATGTGATTGTATTGTTTATTTGCTATTGTCTTGCATATATGTTTACTTGCATGAGTGCCACTCTTCCGTCCTGAGTACTGAAATCAGTCTTGTGAATTCTATACTACAATTAATCTCTTTCCAATTTGTTTTTTGAATTTTTCAAAAAAATTCTTATTCTTAAAAAGTAACAAATATTTTTGGTTAAAAATAATTTTAAAAAGTATTACTTTTTAGTGAAAACATTATTTTTCGTAATTATTGCAATATAATCAAATGGTGTCACGCCACAATTTAAGAATTGGAATGATGAAACTTCAAATAATATATGCGCCATTCTCATGAAAAGATGCCTCTTGCAGTTATTGAGCTATATTTTTCTGGAAATTCTGTCAAGCAAACAACCTTAAACTGTATTAATTAATTTAAAAAAAATGAGTTCAGTCTTGAATATTTTTTGGGGTGGCACCCATGTTAAATGTTTTTATGCGTTTTAGATGTATTTTATTATAGTGTTAGTGTATTTATTCAAGCTATATTATAAAATACAATACACTGTTCTCTTCTGTCTTGCCTTTAATGCATATTTCATACTTATAGTTTCTAACTTGTACTGCTGTTGGAAAAAATATTTGCGAAGTAATAACAGTTCAAGTACAAAACTTTGTTCTAAAAATTGAGCTACTTCCCCAACACTTATAAGCATAATTGCTTATTAATAGATTTTATATTCATATGTTAGAAAACTTTTCATAGTTTGTAATTTTTTTTAACTTAAACTAATTTTTTACATTATTATTAGAACATAAATGTTGCCATAACTAAGAGAAATTTTCTTCAAGATCCATAAAAGTTGGCAGCTAAGCTAATATTATAGGGGTGCTAACTATTACGATTAATCGGTATTGATTACGATTTCGTAGCAAGATTACATTTCAGTATTAAAAATTAAGGTTTTAATAATTTTCATAATAATTAAAATATTTTTTCCTCCTAAATATTCTAACAATAAATAAAACGAAAACTATTTGATAGAAACAAATAAAAATAAAAAAAGATTAAAGAAATCTCCTTTCCCCTTCTATAACAAACTATTTTGAAAACTTAATCTCTTCGTACAGAAAAGCAAACAACTGAACATCTACTTGAATCTGAAATGGGAGGAAAAAATTTTAGGGTAAAATACAGGATGATGAAAAGACAATAAGGGATAGTTCTAATTTAACCAAAAAACATTGATTCCAATTAATCAATTTTATTTAATAATAAAGTATAGAATTTCAGTGTTGTATCAGTTTTAATTTAGTACCATTATCTGAGTATTGCTTTTTTATTCAACAGTAAATTTATACATAATTTTGTAAATATTATATATTGATGAAGAGTTTAAGTGGTATATATACCTTATTTTAGAGCTAATTTGGAAAGTTGGCACCCTTGCATGGGGCAATAATTTTAATTAAATGTCTTTTTAAACTGATGTCAATTTTTTTTTCCTTCAATGAATAAAGTTCTTAAGAATATACTTTTAAAGTCTATTTTAAAAAAAGTTCTAGCTATTTTAGTTTTCATTTCTTCAAAACGAGAAAATAAATAAACTATATGCAGTCATATTGGAACCATTATACACAGGCAATCTGATTTACAAATATGGTTGAGAGAATGCAGTACGCCAAAAAACGGACCATCCTGAATAACTTCTGATTTAATGATTGGATTTTTACGTTCTAAAACTCAATCTTAATGACTTAAAGGGGTGACCTCAAATATGCAATTAATAAGTGTAGACGATATATTAAGTTATAAAATCAAACACAAAAAAGTCAAGTTCCTAATTTTGGACCCCTTAATGTTAATTTTACTTTTTGCTGTACCTTGAGAACTTAAGCGAATTGAAAATATTTTGCACAATTATAAATTTCGTTTATCCAAAGATAATTCAGTTATTCAAAGATCCATGCAAAAAATAGCATCAGTCAATATTTTTTTTTTTTATTATTATTATTTAAAGAATGGTAAAAAAAAGTTTTAAATGTAAGGTATACAATTTTTTGCAGTATTTCAAAGAATGTAATTTTAAATAGCAAAATATGAGCAAATAGTTCTTAAGTAATTAAATTTTTTTTTAAGTAATCAGATACTTAAAATTAGGTTTCGCAGGAACTATTTGACCCATTTAGCTGAATTTTTGTATTTTGCCTTATAAAATTATATTCTTTAAAATGATGCATAAAATTGCATACCTTACAATTCCAAATTTTTTTGGCCGTTCTTAAATAAAATAATAAATATTTGCTAAAAGTTATTTTTTGCATGGGATTATCTTTAGCTAAACAAATTTTATCATTGTGTGTATTTGAGATCACCCCTCGAGATATTGAAATTGAGTCCTAGAACGTGTAAAAATGGATCATTAGATCAAAAGTTAATCAGTGTAGACTGGTGGGGTTTTTTTTTTTTTTGTACATGTGCCAATAAGATGTATTGGTAGATATTTCGTTGACCAATGAAATCTTTTATGTTATTTACAAGAAATCTGATTGAGATAAAACTACTGCCCAGCTTAAGCCATTGTGAAATTTAAAGAAAAGAAATATGTGTAATAAAACTTAACAATTATTTTACATTTTGAAAATGTATAAAGAAACTATCATATAACATTTATATTATGTAAAGAGAAATAGAATACCTAATATATATATTTTAAAATTAAATTTAACTCATATTTGCATGAAACAAACAACAAGCCTGCATTAACATTAAAGATCCCGGACATCACAACGTCTTGAAGAGGGGAAACGAAATTAAATAGAACAAAAATAATTCACTAAATCTCACTTATTCAAATTATCAAGTTTAGGGGGACATAAACTTATAGTCCACTCTAATGACTATGTAGAGACATTCCTTTTTGAATTTTGCAATGGCTTGGATGAGAGATTGAACTGCTTCTTTATTTGCAAAACGTCTGGAATTATGATAAACTTTTCATTGATTTTTCTTACTACACAAATGTACGAAAATTCACTTATTTAGTATAATAGAAACATAGTAAATTAATAAGTATTGAATCTCTTGATCTGTGAGTAAGTGGCCTTAGTAACATCGCTTATTTAGAAATTTTCAACATTAAATCATCAGAAATTTCAGGCTGAAATATTTTACCAAGCTTATCTGGCTTCAAAAACTGATCCTGAGTTCCCCATTAGAAACCATCATGTAGAGGATTCGTAGTTGCTCTGATATTCCTGAAATATACTTTTGGTCATGTTTTTTTTTTTCTGTCCCATTTTGTAAGAATCCAACTTAATAACTATATAGGACCCGCAGTGGACTGATCGTTAAGACACGGTTCCCAGCAGATCACCGAAGTCAAGCATCACTGGCTGCGGNAAGAAAGAGTGGACAGCATGAAATTGCAATTAAACAGTTAGTGGCGGCGCTTTACTCTTTATATGTACACTGTATAGTATGCAGCATGCAGGGATAATGCATTTCATAAAAATTTGGCGACCCCTAGTTTGCGCACCACTGATGTAGAGGATTCGTAGTTGCTCTGATATTCCTGAAATATACTTTTGGTCATGTTTTTTTTTTTTCTGTCCCATTTTGTAGGAATGCAAATTAATAACTATATAGTTTATTATATAAATAAGAATTACTTAATTTGCTAAGATTAACATTCTAAAATTTCAAAAATCACAATTTTAAATTTTTTGTTTAAAAAAAAAAAGCTTTTTGCTCCGTTTTGAGATTCTTTATTAAATAGTAGCCAAATTATTCTAAAGATATTCAGTAATATTCATTTTTATTATTAAACTAGCGTTATTTAGCTTTATTTAAATAATATTTTAGATAATCCTGATTAATACGTTTGATTCTATTTCAAAGAGTTTTTAATGAATTTATGCCTCGTGTGAAAATGAGGAATTCTTTCTAATGACTTTTGCATAATTTATTTGCATACATTGTAAATCATAATAAAAAAAAAATCAGGTGTCAAAATGAAAAACAATGGACAATTACAGTAATTTTTTGTTAAAATTTTAATACATACAGAAATGTTAAAATTTTAATACATACAGAAATGTTAAAATTTTAATACATACCTAAGAAGGCACCATCCATAAAAGAGAAAAAAAAGACGATTATTTATGTTTATTTTGTAAAATGCAAAAAATAGAAATGTCACGACAATCATGACCAAAAAAATGGAAAAAGCATTTTTTTAAAATTGTTATGTAAATCTTTTTTTTTTTTTTAAATTTTTTTTTTCATATGTGAACTAACAAGCATTTCAAAAAAATACTACTACTTAATTTATGAGCTATTTAACGAAACAAAGCGAAAATCTAAATCAGAAAATTTGAGGTTTATTTCGTGCATTCTACCTTCGTATTAAAGTTTATTTATTACACATTATTTTGATACTTATTGTGACTTTCAAGCTAAAAGATTTTAGTAGTATAAAGTTACGCATTTAGTCAATTGCAAATATAAAATAAACAATTATAAATTATAGAAAATAATTAAGTGATCATAAATATAAGAATATAAAATAGTGTTAAATAGTAAGTTATAAAATTTTGACAAATTAAATAACCCTTATTTTGGAAACATTTCTGAGTACTGATGATTTGTTAATTGCTGTATGCACAAATTAGGTAAATTTAAAGAACAGATAGCTTAAATTAGAGTTTTAAGGAAGGTACATACAGAAACAGAATTAAAAGTTATTTCGAACTCCAGCCGTGCTGATCAGGGAAATCTCTTTGACAAGCTAGGCAAAGGGAATTGGATTGGATTCAAGAAGATAAAAATTAGAATCTTTTTACGCATTCATGTACTATTCCAACTGTATTTTATGTACAAGATAAGTTAAATTTATGAAAAATATCGTATGGAAACTCTCTGATCGCTTAGACACGGTTCCCTGCAGATCACCGAAGTCAAGCATCAGTGTGCGGGTGGATGACCACTTGGATCAGTTTGCGTAGGGGCCGAGGGTGTGCGGTATTGGTCCTCGTTAAACTGTTCTACCGTAAAGTGCTCGACTTCGCGTGCAGATCGTTGGGCTACCAAAGCGGGGGTGCATCCCCTCTGCAGAAGATCGAAATTGTGATGGCATGTCTTCAGATCATCCTCAGGGATGTTTCCCAGACTATTGCCAATAGCTCATTGTACAGCTCTAGTGTGACGCAAATGAACTACAACAACAAAGTATGCCCAGTTTTCACCTACGGAGAATGGAGAGTTGTAAGAGAAGGAAGCATGTTAGTTCCTGTTTTGATTTTCAAATAGATTAAAAACGAAGTTAAGAAACTATATGGAACTGAAAACTACTTTGAGCATAGATCTAATAGAAAACGTATTGTAAATTTAAAAAAATATTTCTGGCAAGTAAATATGAAAAATATTAATAGGGGAAGAAATGTCCTAGTATATTCCTACACAACTGAAAAAAGAGGAGGAGAGGAAAAGGGGGAGGGTCAAAACATGGATCCGGTCTTCTCCCAGACGGCGTATTCGAGTGATGCAATTGACTGATACGAATTACAGTAAAGCTACAAGCAAAGCTGAGGTAATTTATTTCATATATAACAGCAGCACAAAGGTAGGCAATCGAAAGCTTTTGCAGTGCAATATCATCGTAATCAAAATAAAAGCGATAACTCGTCAGTAGGAATCCAAGTTTCTTGATGTTAAATATGTTAACAGATTGCAGGTAACTTAATGACCAAAACTTATCTTCCCATAAATCTCCTACGATGTCTGGCTCTCATTTTATTTCCAACAAAAAGTTATATAATTGTTTTGAATGCAATAAAAATTTTATTAAAGAGAAAGATTTAAAGACGCATCGTTTAATTCATAGTGGTGAGAAACCTCATTCGTGCAATGTGTGCAATAAAAGTTTCCGACAAAAAAGTCAATTATTTGAGCATTATCTCGTTCACACTAAAGAAAAATCTCATTCATGTACAATTTGCAATAAATCTTTTGCTCTAAAACGCACTTTAAAAAGACATTATCTTGTCCATTCTGAAGTAAAATCTCATTGGTGCCAGGTTTGCAATGCAGGTTTCAAGCAAAAGAATCATTTGATGATTCATTATCGGATTCATACCGATGAAAAACCTTATTCATGTGACGTGTGTAGCAAGTGCTTCAGAACTAAAGTTGAATTACACTCGCATTCAATTTCTCATTCAGACACAAAGCCGCATTCATGTGATATTTGTGGCAAAAGTTTTAACTTCAAAAGCAATCTAAATCGACACCATCGATCTCATTCTACTGCAAAACCTTATACATGTGTTGTGTGCAACCATAGCTACAAAGACAAGAATCGATTAACTATTCATTTTTGCAAACATACAGGGGAGAAACCTTATATATGTGTTGTCTGTTCTGAAAGTTTTGCATCCGCATGTTCTTTAAAAAGACATTCTTTTAAGCATTCTTCAGTTAAACCTTACTCTTGTAATCTGTGTGATAAATCCTTCATTGATAAAAGTAATTTAAATAGACATATGCGTTCTCATGCAAAGGGAAATATTCATAGTGTGAGTCAAAATGCCCCCCAAGAGAATAAATAAGTTAAACTTTCATTTCTAAAGAGATTTTTAAATGCATCATTATTTATCTTGTTTGTTTATTTATTTTTAAAGTTTTTTTTTGGAGGGGGGGGGGCTTGTCAATTTGTCTGAAGAAACCTATTTCTTCTAGGACAGTGGAAGAAGCCAAGCAAAATGAAAGAAACCAAAAAAGTAATGTTAATAAAAAAAATTATGCATTATGGAAATAGTTTAAATTCGAATTAAAGTAAATATGGTCCAAGAAAATTTAATGTTTTTTATATCAATTAAATAAAAAAATTTTAGTAAGAAAATTATGCATTATGGAAATAGTTCAAATTAAATTAAATATAGTCAAAGAAAATGTAATGTTTTTTATGTCAATTAAAAAAAAATTTTTTTAACTTGTTTTAATTTTATACAGAATTTTGAAATCTATATATATCATTTCAGATTTGGTTTGAGTATTCATACTTGATAGTATTCTATTTGGTAATAAAAATTAATATGCTATTTGTAATTGAGAATTCAATATGTGATTTGTAGTAGTGTATTAATTACATTGTAATAATATATTTTTAATGAAATTTCATATAATTATAAATTGTGATTTTATAATTGCTTGCTGGAATAAAATATTGAAGGATTACAGTCAATTTCATTAAATTTATTCTTTCTTATTATTGATTTTTAGTTTTCATGTTCTAAGAATGATAAATGGTTTAGAAATTAATTTTATAATTTAGGCAGGCTGAAAATTTTTTTTGATATTTATTAAATAATTTTGTTTATTTTCCTCTCAGATTGAAAAAATATTTTTTTCAAGTTAGTTTTTCCACTGTGAAAGAAACTTTTTATCCATATTATAATGTTAATTACAACAATCAAGGTGTTTTCCAGGGTGCATAGCATTTTTTAAAAGCCCTTAAAGTTGCTTTTTTCAATTGGGTGTTTTTAAAAAGCGCTTAATTTTCCCTTTTCCATAATGAGATTTTTTTTCTTTACCATATCAATTTTTGCCTTGAATTATGCAAAAAGCGTAGTTTTCACATTGTTCTATTAAACATATTCATAATTCATTCAACCACAATCTATTTCGACATACCACTGGTTCGTATTGTATGAAAGGGCCAATCGTTTTACGAAATACATGCGGGTTCGAATACTGAGCTGGATTCGGTGGGAAGGATTCATGCATTCGAATGAGCAACTCTGCTGCATTTTGCAAGAGAGATAATCTTTTAAATAATAGTTACAGGGGTCGCATTCCCCCTAAAATTCCTAAAACTATGTACAAACCCTAAAATTCCTAAAAATCTGCTAAAATTTTGTTGGTGTTCCTAAAAAATTTGAGTTATAGGAATAAATCACAGAGAAAACGAAAATGCTGCACCTCTTTCTTTTTGTACCGAATTTGTTTACGTCATCGCTTCTCTGCAAGGAGAGGAGGGTGGGAGGAGACGCGGGACGGCGGTTGGGGAAGAAAGACGACGATCGGCGGTGTGACGACATTCAGGCGAGTGATTGGTTTTTTTTATCACATGGTTATTTTCACTCTTAAGGCGTCACGGGCCTCTCCTCTCCNCTTGCAATTATTTATGATTTGTATAGATGAATAAGAATAATCTTCTGTTATGTAATAAACTACGGTGTGACCTGTTTTTATCCTAGCATATTACCCCTAAAATTTTTTGAAAAAGTTCCTAAAATTACCCTAAAATTTAAAAAAAACTTTGCTGCTACCCCTATAGTTAAATAAATTTTTTATATTTTGAATAATGTTTTTTTTTTGCTTATTTGTGTTAAGTAATTATTAATTTAAAAAATTGAATGATTCACTCACAATTGAATATATTTAAAATTGTGCATAAATCGTTTTTATGGTGCCTAAATTGTTTAAAAATATTTTTTGAGTGCTTAAAAAGCACTTAAAAGGTGCTTATTTTTTGTTGAAAACTTTGGCTACGCACCCTGTTTTGAAAAGTTGTTATTTATCATATTAGTTATGGAACAGGTATCTTGTGCATCTGCACCTTTTTCGGTATTTGTTTTATGCTCCAACTTTTGCGCTACAATTGTTTGTTTGCATGCAGATAAGAGTGATGAAATAATCATGAAAGTTCGACTGAAATTTTAAGTTAAATTTTTAGGTATGAAACTGTTCAGAAATTTACTATAATTTTTTTTTAAAGGTTAATGAATTTTTCAGATGTTTTCTTCATTTCAATCTATTTACTTTATGCTGATTAACTAAGAATGTAATTCTGAAGTGATACACAAAGTCAGCTTGAAGTTATGCTCAGTACATCTTAGTGCAAAATTAATTTTACTTAAGCGTTTGTTAAGCATAATTTATTTTAAGCATTTGAATAGTACAGGAAATCTAAATGAGTTAAGAAATAAATTTATTATTTATGAAAAAATTGAATATTACTGTGGAGTTAATTTTTTACTATTGTGTATTTACTAAAACAAGTATTAAAGATTGGTATAGTCAATGTATTTTCAAGAAGAAAAAATGGGATGCGTGTTTTATAAGTGAGTAACTTCAATGGTTTCAATATTGTATCTTTTTATTTGCTTGTTAAGCATCAGTAAATATTAGTTTTATGTTTTTAAATTGCTCTTTTATAAAACTTACAACAGAGATATAACAAAACATGTTTATTATCGTAAATTAATATCTTGGTATTATCTCAGTTTGTGATCTAGCTGGGTAATAGATATTAATTTTTTTAATAGTTGAGTTTTAGTTTTGCCTTTTTAAAGCCATGGTCATATGTTTGCCCAGTATACCCTACACTAATGTTTTATTTAGGTTAAGTGTCACTCTTGGTAAACCGTTCACTGATTTTCTTAAGGTTACGAACCAGTGCCATGCATATTCTATGCTACTGCTGAAAATTATCGGGTGTACTTAAAATTTCATAGGGTTGCGATATATTTTATTTCACTTTTGGCATCGAGTGCCTGGAGGCATCGAGTGCTTTTCATATAGATCTGCAGTTATGTTTGAATTTGAAATACATGTTTTGTGTTTAAGAAACAACTTAATTTTAATANGTGACTTCTGTTGTTGCAGATTAGATGACAAATAAATTATATGAGGTTGTAAGATGTTAGTTTAAGCAGGACCGTTTATTTTTTTGATAGTTATTTATTGTTAGCTTGTTTTTTATGGTTATTAATTGCTTATTTAGCTTTAATTGTAAATTTTTTTTCATTAATAATTGTTTATTATTTTGCGTGCTTTTTGTGAATTTTAATTTAATTGTTACATATGCTTCATAGTGCAATAGCATTTGTGTAATAACAATTCATAGTGTAAAAACAAATGTGATCGGTGGCGTGCCCAAAATATTGTGTCGGGTGCCATAAATGGCACGCGTGCCATTGGTTCGCCATCCCTGCCCTACACTAATGTTTTATTTAGGTTAAGTGTCACTCTTGGTAAAGCGTTCACTGATTTTCTTAAGGTTACAAACCAGTGCCATGCATATTCTATGCTACTGCTGAAAATTATCGGGTGTACTTAAAATTTCATAGGGTTGCGATATATTTTATTTCACTTTTGGCTTCGAGTGCTTTTCATATAGATCTGCAGTTATGTTTGAATTTGAAATACATGTTTTGTGTTTAAGAAACAACTTAATTTTAATAAAGTTACTGTATTTAGTTTCAAAATATGTAATTTGATTTGCAGAACTTTATTTTAATATAGTTAACAGATTTAGTTAGTTTATAGTATTTAATTTTGTTTCCGGCATGTTCCAAAAGTAGTTCCGATAAAAATGCACCAAAAGTGGTTGGCAGGAAGAAAAAAAATTACCAAGCATCGAGTGCAAATGCACAAGAATCTGTTCCATAGCAACTCTTCGATTTTAATGAGTGATACAGTAAATACGGTTTGATATTCCATAGACGAATTGTTTATTTAATAATATTAGATTGTCCGTATTTGCCTTTCATTTCAATATACCAACCAAACTTATGTCTTTGTTCTTTTTTTCTCAGTATCCACTTTTTGGTACAAGTTTTTTGCCTCTTTTGAAAAAAGTATATTTCTCATTATTCTGACTTTTGATAGGGAACTTCGATAAATATAAAGTAAAGGCAAGTTTTTGTCACAAATGAAAAAAAAAGTCTGATATTTAATTGTGAGTAAAGTGTTAAGAGTGACCAAGTGAATATGTGATAAGAATGAAATGTTCAGCCTAAATTATTCAAGGCATGTTGCATTTTAAAAGAAGAAGTTCAAGTAAATGTATATTTTTAAATTATGCTGAGTAAAGTTATGCATGTCAGTTTCAGCTTTTTTTTTTCCTTGAGAAAGGTAAGTATTCAAATGAGTTGAATGCATTATCTCATTTTTACGAAAAGTGACTTGGTCACTTTTGTCTGCCAGTGTACCTGAAATTTGATTAAAAAAAATTTATTTAGGTACTCTGACTTCTATTCTTTTTTGTTCCCCTGTATTCTTTTATTTGTTGGTTGAAAAATATATCTCTGTTCTTTTATTTATTGAAAGCTGTTTTATTTATATAAAGTTGTTGTTTTGTTCTACCTTCTGCATGTATGCAGTTTTTAACTGCTTTTGTAATCAATTCCAGTTTTTTTCCCCTTTTTTTTAATATTTACCTTTATTTCAGTTCTATTTTAGTGCATTATTCTATTATTAGACAAGGAATTTTTTTTTCTTTAGTTATTGAGAAATAAGCTAGTTCAAATAATAAAATTCTATGCGGTTTTATTAAAAATTTGAAAATACAGTAGTTGTATTAATGGTACTGTAAAAGCGAGATATAAATTATGACAGACTATAAAATTTCAGTTTTAAAGATATTACCGAGATTTAAATTTTTGCTCCACACTATTTCTATGAGAAATAAGAACAATTTTTAAAATTTTAGCAGACATAGTATAAAGAACTTTGTGGTTTTCTAAACTGCAGAAAAAAAAATTATAAATACATAAATAAAAATGTCGAATCTAGAAAATGGAAAACTTATTGCAAAGCGATAGCAGTATGAAGTTTCTAAGACTTGT